TGGCATTTATGTAGTAGAGACGGCTTGGATCTCGGAGACTCCTCTGATGTCGGTTCCCCGGCGGTGGAACTCTCTCTTGCTGGCGGTTGGCTGAAAGGTTTTTCGGGTTCTCACAGTCACGTGACCATGACCCGATGAATAAAGGCATTGTGCCGAGGTTTTAATGCCTCTTTAAATACAGTCTGATCTGTGTAGCAATGAGAACACGCAGGAGAGTTTGTGTTTGTAACATTTGTGATGCACACCGTTGACCTTCTTTTTGATGCTATTGCTCATATAGCCTTTGGTTTGGGGTTTATTGGAGTGTTTGTTCAGTGTTTAATACATTGATTTAGGGCCAGATTTACTAAACAGGGCAGATTAGCATGAGAGCGCAATTCCAAAACAGCGCTGATGGGAGTGGAAAGTTGTGCGCGTGATCTACTGACGACACAAATTAAAGAACACAGACGCAGCCGGATCATTTCCATAATGACCAACACAATCTACCAAGAGCAGCGCGAGTTAGCGTCTGGTTTAAAACGTGCTTTTTTTGGGCGGTAAATAATGGAGCAAACACCAGTAAATTGACGAGCGCAACCCTTAGTAAATCACCTAGCATGATTTTTTTTAACACCAAAAGAGGGTTTGCGCTGTTAGTAAATCTGGCCCTTAGTTTTTCCACAAACTGCTTCCACTTTATCTGGCCAAAATCCAAATAAAGCATCTAAACTTTCGTCATTCCAGTTTTTAAAGCAACACTAAGTAAGATTTTTTTACCATAATGTTTCCAAAATCGTTTCAGTGCATGGTTCATGAAGTCGTAACAGGGTGAAAGTAGGGCTGTCGCGATAACCGCAATATTGCAATACCGCGCTACTGACAGGCCAACCGCAGAGGAATGCAAGTAACCGCAGCAACCGCCAAACCGCGTTTTCTTTTTTCATAAGGCCACCCTTCGTAGTTCGTACCATGTGTATTGAATGTTAAATAAGTTAATAATGATAACAAGACTGTTTATCATGGTGATTTGTACAGAGGCTTCGTGGATTTGGACTTAAGCCTAAACAGACAGTGAATGAGATCGCCTGAGCGCGTGCGATTACCTGCGTCTGTCTCTGAAGTCAAGTCATGTATATTTGTGAAAAGGTTGCCGTTTCCAAGGAAAGCGAAATATTTGTCGTACCATCCTTTTAACGTGTAAGGGTAGGCTATTTACCATGAATGGCGTCAGCGCTGGTCAGCATTACACAGCGCGAGGAAGCCGTGGGGGGAAAGCAGCGACTCACGCATTGGTCTCTAATATTAAGTGAAGCATTGCTTCAGCTTTGCCCAAAAGTGAAGCATTGCTGGCCAGCTGAGCCTTGAAAAGTGGAGCTCAAATTAAAAAATAAAAAATTAACGCCTTGTTTCATTACATCTATCATTTAAGGAATCAGCTTTTTTGAACGTTTTCGTTGAATGAACGGTTTAATGACGCACTCAAAGACAGTCCGTTGGCTTAACAATGGAACTGCGCGCTGAGTGACAGTCTTTCAATGCGCAGAGACGCTGTTTAGTTTCGGTTACATTGGTTACATTGTTTTTGTGTATGCTGACCACGTCATAACAGGTATTTATAGCAACAAATAAATATAAATAAATAAATGGCGGTAATACCGCATTTGAGCCACTCAAAATTACCGCAAGGGAAATTCCTTCACCGCGACAGCCCTAGGTGAAAGGCACTTATGCCTCCGCTTTGCGGTCCTATATTTGCTATAACCACGCTGTAAGATTGCCAGATCGGGTCGCGTTTCTGTAGTTCTAATGAGACATAAGAAAACTACAAATTTGACGTGCTTTACGTCAAGCGTTACAATAGTCATTATTTTGTTTTTCTTTGTTTCTGATGTCGAAATACATCATACTTTCATGAAATCATGCAACATACTCTACCTTGTCTGTGGACATCGTTCATTCCAAAGCCGGTGCTGGATAAACAGCGAGCGTGCGTGCGGCAGTAGGCTGCGCTAGGCTAAAGTATTTACGACAGCGGTAATGGACAATTCCGTTTCCAACCTGTAGGGCGACCGCAGAGGAAAAGTTACTTGGTGTTGCTTTAAAGCAACATCAGTCAACGGTAGCAAAATTAGCCACTTTATCCATGAAAACTCATCCTGTGTGAAATAGTAGCCGGTGTTAGGGCTCTAGAGTTCAGGATATTTCAACTATTATCACAGTTCCAGAGACCCCCCTCGCTGTTGTATAGATTGTGTTTCTGTGTCATGTAACCGGGCTCTTAACATGTAAAGAAAGGTGAGTGGTATCGACTTTCTGACCTCCTGATGGTATCTTATAGACATTAGAGCGATATTCTGCTAGAAGTAAAGTAGTAATGAAAATCGAGAATCTGCTTTCTGGGCATTTGTTCCTGGAATATTCACATGAACGACTTTTAATGACTCATGATTCAATTCTATTTGATTTTGATTCAGGGAATCATGAACTTACAAGTAAGACAAAAAAAATGAACTACCTTATTGTTGAACCCTGTATTACAAGGTAAGATGATCCTCTCTAATAAAAATGAGTTGGAGAAATTTCTAATTTATTATTTTTTATTAGTAGTAGTTTTTCATTTGAATATTTAAAAAAATATGTTTATTTAATTATTCCGTAGTAGTCTATGATTTATTTGTATAGTTATATAGTTTATTTAAATAGTTTATTTTTTTGTATATTTAAAAAATGTTACTAGTATTTATTTTTTATTATTAACTTACAAGACAAGAAAAAATTAAATCCGTATTGTTAAACCTTGTCCTCTCCAATGAAAAATGAGTAGGAGAAATTTATAAAAAAAAATTATTTATTAGTAGTAGTTATTTTTTCTAGTTTATTTAAATATTAAAACAAATATTATTAATATTTATTTTAATATTTCATAGTAGTTTATTATTTATTTGTGTAATGTCTTTAAATATTTATGTATAATTTATTTAAATTGTTTATTATATTTTGTATATTTTAAAATGTTATTAGTGATTTAATTTTATTTATTTATTTGTGGTTTAAAGAATTATGATGTATCTGCGAATAATTTCTCTTTCACAAAACAGACACAAATCTCATCATGTTATAATACGTCATACCGTGTGTGTATTTACTGCGGATAATATAGCCTGTAGTTTGAAACTGTACCCCCGTTTAGTGAAGGCAAACCAGCTTAAATCAGATTCTGTTTCACAGCACAATTTGTTTCAGCTGGTTTATTAGCTGATAATCTGGTTGTCTGACATTGACGGGACACAGTTTGAGTGAGGGGCGACGGCCAGATGTCTTGGGTTTCACGCGGATGATTGTGTTTCTGATGTTTGTCATGATGGAGGCTGGGTTACAGGAACAGGAGAAGCAGAACCTTAAGAAACATGGAGAACCGTCTTTGTGAAGCGCTCCTCTCCTTTCCTCACTCTTTATTTTTCTTCTAGTCTTTTGTTCTTCATCTATGATAGTTGATTTCAGGACAGAATCATTCTAGACACAATCTAAAACAATTTTCTAGTTCTGTACGAAACAGAATTGTAAAACTAAAAAAATTGATATTTACAAACATATTACACATCTTACACCCTGTTGCTTGTTTTACAAATACCAATACCTTTTTATTTAATGAAGTATTTTTTGGTAACACTCTACTATAAGGTGTTATTTTTTATCATTAGTTAAGGCATCAACTAACGTGAACTAACAATGAACAGTATGTATTAACAGAATTTATTAACCTTTGTTAATGTTTTCAGTTCACAGTGCATTAATAATGCATTAACAAACAGATACAACTATTGATCTTAAAAATGTAGTAAATGTTGAGATTAACATTATTTAAGATTAGGCTAATAAATGCTGTGGGATTGTTCATATTATATAACAAATGAAACCTCATTGTAACGTGTTACCAGACACCCCACCAAAAAAATCAAATGTTTTATAGAAGATGAAGAGGTACATGAAATTACAAATCCATGCTTTCTTGGGTCTGTGATTGTCATGTGATGGTTACAGGAGGTTCATGATCCCGGTCACCTGATCAGCTCTTCATCCCTCATGTTTTATTCAAAAAACGGACAGAACGGAAAATCTGGCGCAGGAACCTGAGAGAAAGTCTCTGTCTTTCCTCCCACAGCGCAGAAACACTGAGAGATTTGACATGGATTATTTACAGGATTGACATTATTATCATGATACTATACGATAAAATAATTGATTTTGTCTTCTAAAGCATCTTTTTGTCTACAATCTTAGAAAAAAGGGTTTAATGGGTTTCTATATAGAAGAAAAACTATTCTTGACACAATTTTAAAGAACGCTTTATGCCATTAAGAAGAAATGTCTTATGCATAATGCTTTCATGTTTAATAGGCTATTTAAAAAAAAATTATAGGGATAAAGTTAAGCTGTTTAATTCATAAAATGTAATTAAAATAAAAAATGAATGCAAACTGAATCAATTAAAACTAAATGTGATCCCATGGGAGCACATAAAAGGTTCTGTGTGTGAAACGCCTGACAGAAGCCTTTGATTTCTAAGAGTGTATTCAGGGATTTGCTGCAATAATCTAAAAATTAAATTAAATGATTTTAATTGTTTATAAATTATCTCTATTTGCAAGCTTTTCTCAGCAAAAATGGTCATTTGGAATTGTGCATGCAATTGGGATAATTTATTGGCATATTATATAATTAATTCAATAAACCCCTGCTAAATAAAACTAGTTTATCTTGAACACACTGGTTTGGAAATGTTCGGTTGGTGAATGAACATTTTTCATGATCTGGTTTCATTTGTGCTTAGTCACTGACCCATTTTACTCTGCAGTTTTATTTTTTTCCCCTTGAAGAGTTGAACTATAAAAATAACTCCCTTGAATTTTACACAATAACACGACAAACTTTCTCCTCACCTTTATGTTTTTATACTTTAGTAAGAACGCATAGCAAGCCAAGTGCTGATGTCTGTCTCTTTTTTCCGTGTTTTCCAGGAGTTGCTGGGTGTGTTTTGCCACAGATGAGGATGATCGTACAGCGGAGTGGGTGCGCCCGTGCCGCTGTCGTGGTTCCACTAAGTGGGTTCATCAGTCGTGTCTTCAGCGCTGGGTTGATGAGAAGCAGAGGGGAAACAGCACCGCACGCGTCGCCTGCCCACAATGCAATGCTGAGTACCTCATCGTGTTCCCTAAGCTTGGTATGACAGCTCTTCAATGCTGAAGTGTCAGTCAGCTCTTAAAAACTGATCTTGAATCAGTGTTTAATATACAACTCAGAATTCAAATATTTAATCTTTAACATGTTAAAGTGTCACTACATCATCAAACGTAATTGCAAAAACAACATGTTTGTTTTTGCAATTATGTTTGATGATGTAGTGACACTTTAACATGCTAAAGATTAAATATTTGAATTCTGTTAACCTGCACTACCGTTCAAAAGATTGGGGTCGGTATGATTTTTTAATGTTTTTAAAGAAATCTCTTAGGCTGCATTTATTTGATCAAAAATAGAGTAAAACAGTAATATTGTGAAATATTTTTACAATTTAACATAACTTTTTTTTTTTTTTTGAATATATTTTAAAATGTAAATTATTCCTGTAATGCAAAGCTGGATTTTCAGCGTCATTACTCCAGTGTCTTCAGTGTCACATGATCCTTCAGAAATCATTTTAATATGCTGATTTGCTGCTCAAGAAACATTTATTAATCAACTTTGAAATCAGTTGTGCTGCTTAATATTTTGGTGGAAACTGTGATACATTTTTTCAGCACGTTCAGTAAGGCTAGAGTAGTAGACAGACAGTCACGTGCACCACAAACAAACAGCAGCCACATTAACAGTTCCTCCTGAACTAAAACAACAAGCTTATGGTGCGTTCACGCCATATTGTAACAGTAATCACGAGATGGCAACCCGTGACGTTCTGCGGATTTATGCTTTTCTGTCTACACTATCAACGCTGAAATGAATCTGAGTCAGGTGGTACAAGTCAGCTCTGGTTGTGTACGTTCATGTGTTTTGAAGGTGGTGTGGCATTAAAAACACTCTGAAGGGAGGGTGGGATCTCAGGCTTTCAAAGCTAGCTTGCTATTGCTAGCTTCTCCGAAATTGCCTACTCTACCTTTAATGGCCAAGTTGAAAGTGAAAATATTAAATACATCGTCCCTGCCTTTGCTGGGAATATAATACACCGTTCACTTTTACATACCACACATTACAAGCTGAATTCTAGACATTTGTGACATGCTTTCATAGACTTCCTCAAATGTCACTGCAGTAGTTATGAATAGTTGCATGTTTTTTTTTTACACTTAGTAGGTCAATCCTGATTCCAGAGAAATCCTTCTTTTGATATTGGTGATGAGGCTTTGTGATTGTGATTCCACTAATCTGCTGCTCATGAAATGAAATGTCATTTTTCATCCTCTTGCGTTTCATCGCTTATGTAATTGATCAGGTTAGAGTTTAACAGCATTAGTTTCTCTTCACGGTGTGCTAATAATCTTCCTCAGACTGCATCTCCTGAGGGCCAGTCAGTCGTCCTCTCTCGCTCTCTGTCTCTTTCCACAGCAAGGGGTTATTCTGGGATACGGTTGTCAGGGTTACCGTGGCCAGCTGTGAAATTGCTTCAATCATGCTCCCCGTTCAACTTTCAAACTTGAGAAACTAGTGAGGGTTGCCTGTACCACTGCTCAATCTCAATGGCAATATTTTAGTTGCTTTGCGAGCTTGCATTCTGAATCGTCCGAGAAAGACTTGAAACGGGTAGATATGCTGGGTGAACAGTGAAGTCCGATTCATGAACGAATTCATAAATCAATCTTGATTTTACTGCTTGTTCTGTTCTAGAGCCTAGTGAACTGCCTCGCAGTCTACATAGGCAGCATCCCAACTAGCATTGATCCTTTCTGAAGGATCATGTGACACTGAAGACTGGAGCAATGATGCTGCAAATTCAGCTTTGCCATCACATGAATAGATACAATTTTAAAACATTAAAATAGAAAACCGTAACTTAAAATTGTAAAAAAAAAAAAAAAAAAAATCAGTTGTTACTGTATTTTCATTCAAATAAATGCAGCCTTGGTGAGCCAAACTCTCACGACTCCCAGTGGCCCTGCAGGAGCAGGACTGGACACCCCTGGACTAGAGGTTTCAAAACTGATTTGACTTGAAGATTCTGACATGAGGAATGTTTTTCATAAGGTCTTCTTGTACTGTTGGTAACAGATGAAAATCCTGATGAGGCACATTCAGTTGTCAGATTTCCGCAGCCCGCAGACAAGGACGTCTTTTCACATCAGACTGACGGGAAACTGCGTTCACACATTACCTGCACAACACTGCAGTGCAGTTCTTCACACACACTCGCATTCCTTCCACAGGACACATCGTGTTCATGTTCCATGTTCATTTTATATTTAGGGTATAATAATGCGTGATGTCTTGGTGGATGCAGTACTCTATTGAACCCATAGAGTTATTTCAGACCTCCAAGTGATTTACATTTCAATTGATTTCCTTTTGCCTATGTGGAATCAGTTATTTAGGCAGTAATTGAAGTTTCTTTATATATTATTCCACATTTCCACACATGCATCTGTCCTGCTCTACTCAATGATGAAGACAGTTGGGCTGTTTCGAACCCTAGTGAGCGGTCTGCTCTCTATATGATATCTATACACTGCTGTATAGTAGGTACTACATTTGGTTTGAGACTTTTTCCAACTGTTAAAAACAGGTTGTTGTAAGTATGTTCTCTGAATTCGGCCTAAATGATCCTATCTTAATCTTAAAAGGCTGCATAATTTAGCAGTTGTGTATGATATTTGACATGATTTTATTTATATGATGCCTTTAAATGTTCCCTAGGTAGGTCACTATGGTTTGAAACAGAGTCTGAAATAGAGATGGGTATTAAATGGTGTGCTATGCAATTGCTTTTTTGAGCAAAGTGGCAGATACGAAGATGATGAAAGAACATCTGTCTTTTTCAAATATAATACTCCTGATTAACTTTCAAGATGTTCTTCAGACCAGTGCAGCTTGAGATGACATCACACTGAAGTTGTTTTACGCAGCTTGGCATTGGAGAGGGTTTGTTGGGAACAGAAAGTCCTTGTTCCACAGCAGTTCTTTGGCAGGTGCTCAGCTGGTGTGAAACGAGGGAGAATAGACTGCAGATGTATTCCTGCTAAGTGGAGTTTAGTTTTAATGATCTTAATAACGGAATCTGTGGCCGGCAGCAGAAAATGCCTGAATGTTTCCTGTTGCCAGTAGCCATTAGCTTCTCACTGCAGTCCCAGAGAGAAAGTCAACCAGATTCCGGCGCTGTTATCAGAATATTCCATATTCATATTCTTGAGAGGGGTCAGTGTCGTGATCTCACACACCACACACACACACACACACCAGAAAGTGTCTGCTCTGCAGCATTTGAGAGCTGAATTAATATGCGTTGAAGGCTAATTTACACATAGAAACTTCTCACAACCTTTATAGGAACTTTTTGGTCAGATGACGAATTTGTTTAGGAGTCGTTTGTTCTTTGGTTTTGTACTAAAGACAATCAGCCCATACGTTTTCTCAGGCCTGAATATGAGATAAAATAAAATAATATTTCTTTATAGTTTAATTGTGGTTCACTTAGTTTGATAAAGATTGCCCTGAAATAAATATATATATATATATATATATATATATATATATATATATATATACACAAAAAAATACTATAAATCTGTATCATACTAATTAAAATAAGTTTTTTTACTGCAATTCAGTACTTTGCTAAAGGTAAAATGGTTTTAAATTGTGCAAAATTGTTATAAAATAATAGAACACAAAAAAATATACAGTACATTCTCTTAATTTTCTCTATGCAAAAATAAATGTATTTTCTTTACATTTTTCAGGTAAAATCTGAACTATCGTTGAGATGTTTCATGTTAAACTCTTTCTTTTAAGTTCTTTAGTTGGTAGAGCTGTGGTTTCATGTACAGCGCTGGATTAAAACGCTCTGTGTATGATAAATGGTAAGTGGAAATGAAAATGAAGTCATGATTCAGCAGAGAAATGAGGAAATGAATGTCCTCTTCAGTCTCCAGAGAGTCGTCCTAGACATCTCCTGCAGTGGAGGGTATTTATAGGTTGAGAGGAAAGCAGGTTGTAGGTCAGTAAATATTGCATGATTTCATTTCCACTTTGAGTATTTCCTCATTCCTTTTTAGGACCGTTTCATAAAGCATAGGTCATTGAGCCGTGTGTGCTTTGCAGTGGTTGTAAAACTTTATTCATGAGTCATGTAGGATTTAATCATCATTGGTCACACATGGAGCGAACGATAAAGTGATTATCACTCCTATCAACTTTGGTTGATTAATCACGACACAGTCAGGCTGAGGCCGAGTGATTCCCAACACCATGTTTCACATCCGAATAGCACCTTCTGCCCCCTGCTGGAGAGACGCAAACCAGAGTCACTCCTTCTTTCATTTCTGGATTCATCACCCTCTCTTGATCCTCCTGTGAGAGTCACATGATTCAGACCTCTATATCAACTTGTTTTTCATATTCAAATCTGTTGTAACATTGTAAATGTTCCTGTCACTGTTGATCAATTTCATGCATCCTTGCTAAAAAACAAACAATTCACTGACCCCAAACTTTTGATTGGTGGTATATCTGTAGTTATAAACTGATATTCAGCTGAAATTAGGTAGTTTATTCAGTTATCATGGGATAATATTATCATTGTGTATATTTCAAGATTTCAAGAAATCACCATTAGCCTTTAAAAATCCCATTTTATACTAGAAGAGCATGTTAAAACAATTATTTGATCAATAATATGTTATAACAACATGTTTTTACATTGCTTTAACTCATCAAAATAAGTTAGGCAATTTTCCAAAATGTTTATAAGTTATACAAGATTCAACAAATTTCAGTTTAATGTAATTTAACATCCAAGTTGATTGTACTTAAAAATGAAGGCAGCAACTTTGTTTTGTGTCCAGGGCCGGTGGTGTATGTGCTGGATCTGGCAGACAGGTTGATCTCGAAGGCCTGCCCGTTTGCTGCTGCTGGAATCATGGTGGGATCCATCTACTGGACGGCCGTCACGTACGGGGCTGTGACTGTCATGCAGGTGAGACGTCACTCACAGCTCAACGGATTTCACAAGCATTATTTGACTCTTAACAATCTGTCTGTGTTCTTCTCTCAGGTTGTGGGTCATAAGGAAGGTCTGGATGTGATGGAACGGGCCGATCCTCTCTTCTTGTTGATCGGCCTGCCCACCATCCCAGTTATGCTTATTCTGGGGAAGATGATTCGCTGGGAGGATTACGTGCTCCGCATCTGGAGGAAATACTCCAATAAGCTTCAGATCCTCAACAGTATCTTTCCAGGTCAGTGGTGACTAGGGTTGTTATCTTTAACTAAACCTATGTAAACATTTTTTTGTTAATTGAAATAACAAAAGAAAAAATATTAGATGAACTTCTTATTTCAGTTAGTTAAGACAACGTTTAAAAATTTTTTTTTGTTAATTAGTTTAAATAAAATGATTTTTTTTTAATGGAAATAAACTAAAACTGAAATAAAGATAAATAAAACCTAAATAATAATAATGAAAAAAGACAAAAGCACATAACAATTAAAAAATTTTTAAACTAAAATTAAAGTGAAAACTAAAATGACAAAAATAAAACATAATTTTAAATATTAATAAAAACTATAATAATATAAAAATGATATAATCTGTGCCTATATTACATAATTGTGGACATTCTTTATATTTATAAATGTCCACATACACATGTATTTAATTATCTTTTGAATGCTATTATTATGTTTATTATTTAATAATTATATTTATTATATTATTTAAATACACTCACCTAAAGGATTATTAGGAACACCATACTAATACTGTGTTTGACCCCCTTTCGCCTTCAGAACTGCCTTAATTCTACGTGGCATTGATTCAACAAGGTGCTGAAAGCATTCTTTAGAAATCTTGGCCCATATTGATAGGGCATCTTGCAGTTGATGGAGATTTGTGGGGTGCACATCCAGGGCACGAAGCTCCCGTTCCACCACATCCCAAAGATGCTCTATTGGGTTGAGATCTGGTGACTGTGGGAGCCATTTTAGTACAGTGAACTCATTGTCATGTTCAAGAAACCAATTTGAAATGATTTGAGCTTTGTGACATGGTGCATTATCCTGCTGGAAGTAGCCATCAGAGGATGGGTACATGGTGGCCATAAAGGGATGGACATGGTCAGAAACAATGCTCAGGTAGGCCGTGGCATTTAAACGATGCCCAATTGGCACTAAGGGGCCTAAAGTGTGCCAAGAAAACATCCCCCACACCATTACACCACCACCACCAGCCTGCACAGTGGTAACAAGGCATAATGGATCCATGTTCTCATTCTGTTTACGCCAAATTCTGACTCTACCATCTGAATGTCTCAACAGAAATCGAGACTCATCAGACCAGGCAACATTTTTCCAGTCTTCAACTGTCCAATTTTGGTGAGCTCTTGCAAATTGTAGCCTCTTTTTCAAATTTGTAGTGGAGATGAGTGGTACCCGGTGGGGTCTTCTGCTGTTGTAGCCACTCCGCCTCAAGGTTGTGCGTGTTGTGGCTTCACAAATGCTTTGCTGCATACCTCGGTTGTAACGAGTGGTTATTTCAGTCAAAGTTGCTCTTCTATCAGCTTGAATCAGTCGGCCCATTCTCCTCTGACCTCTAGCATCAACAAGGCATTTTCGCCCACAGGACTGCCGCATACTGGATGTTTTTCCCTTTTCACACCATTCTTTGTAAACCCTAGAACTGGTTGTGCGTGAAAATCCCAGTAACTGAGCAGATTGTGAAATACTCAGACCGGCCCGTCTGGCACCAACAACCATGCCACGCTCAAAATTGCTTAAATCACCTTTCTTTCCCATTCTGACATTCAGTTTGGAGTTCAGGAGATTGTCTTGACCAGGACCACACCCCTAAATGCATTGAAGCAACTGGCATGTGTTTGGTTGATTAGATAATTGCATTAATGAGAAATTGAACAGGTGTTCCTAATACTCCTTTAGGTGAGTGTATATATGGTTTAATATTTTAAATATGTATTCAGTGTTATAGACATCTCCTAATTTATCATGACCTGCGATTTCTATCTACATCTTTCTGCCATTTTTTTTCTACCAACAGAAACAAATATAAACAATTCTATTGTCTTAATGGAAAAGTGAATTTTTAAACACTAATACAAAATGTATTGATTGCAAATGAAGTGTAAATGAACACTTATTTTATACAATATTAATTCAAAATGCAATATTTGAAACCAGTTTAAACTGTCAGTATAATTTCAAAACGACACAATGAAAAACTAAACTAGCTGATATTTCTGTTTATCAACTTGCAGGGGCTAAAATGAACACTGCAAATGCCAAATGCAAGTAAAAATCGGAGTATATAAAACGGTGTCAATCACCAGTTGGCCTGTAATATTTTTTATGAATTCTAACAATGCAATGTTATGAGAACATGTTCGTGAACAAACATGAACAACAGCTCGAGACCAGCGCAACATCGTCTCGAAAGTTTGAGCTTTGCCAATTTAAATATTCAAGCACAAGAAGACGCGAAAGGGAACTCAATTCATTATGTGTCTGCACACAAAACTTTCTACACAGGGCGAATTGAGTTCTCATTCTTGTCTTCTTGCGCTTCAACGGACAAATTCACACAACATTTTGTCAAAATGCCCCTCTCGGTATCCTTTACTAGTATCTTAGTAAACATAGTCAGTTATGGCTTAAGTGAACGTAAAAAGTAGATAAAGACAACGCATGTGTATCAGTATCAGTATTGGACCAGCGCATTAGTCTTAAAGTGACAGCAGCCTTATATTCCTGCTGCTATTTGTGTTTGCAATGCAGTGTTGGGAAAGTTCACTTTCTACATGAACTAGTTCAAAGTTCAGTTCACAAATTTTAAAATGAACTAGTTCAGTTCATAGTTCATACTTTACAATTTTGAACTAAGTTCACGGTTCCAAAAAATGAACTAGTTCATAGTTCTTTTTTTCCATATGTTGCTGCGAGCTATTTTTTTTAATTATTGCCACAACCCATATAATATATTTTATCGCGGGCAAAGTTTGCACAGAAATGTAAGATTTTTCCCATCCTCACCGACCTTGTCTTAAAACTGATCATACGATGCGACGCCTCCTCGATGCTTTGTCGACTACATGCTGCTTCTTGTCTTGATGACGCACGCGGCGGCCGCGGTGCGACACTGGGGGCTTGTGTTGCCAGATTGGGTGTTTTTTTCGCTACATATTAAGGCCTGTTTACGCGTGTTTTAGCCGGGTTTTCGCCTGGAAGGCTCTATAGAAACCTGGCACCCTATTGAACGAAGTTAAACTGAGAGAGCGTGCATTCACAGACACCAGAAACGTTCATCAGGCAGTAATACAGTATGGTCAGTTCACGTTCGCCCAAAATATGAACGAGTTCATGAACTATCGTTCAATGAACACGTTCAGGCACAACACTGTTGCAATGTTAGTCAAACAACAAAAGAGAAAGAAAAATTCACTCAATGCTCTTGACTGAATAACTTTTGTAACTTCAATAAGGGTTAAACAATGTTTATTTATACAGTGAAGCCTATCCGGTCATTTTACATTTGATTATGTCTCTACATGAAAACTACTTTTACTTGTCTCTATTAATGTTTTTAATTTATATTAGTTAGGTTAGTAGTTTTAGCTGTGTGGCAAGTTTTAGGTTTTAGTCAGTTTTAGGCCCTGTTTACTTATATTGCTTACTACAAGATTTTGTGAAGTTGTCAGCAAAAATGTCGTGTCATGCGCAGGTATCGGCTGCCCAGTGCCCAGGATCCCGGCAGAGGCCAGTCCGCTGGCCGATCACGTGTCGGCCACACGGATCCTGTGCGGAGCCCTCGTGTTCCCCACCATCGCCACCATCGTGGGCAAACTGATGTTCAGCAGCGTCAACTCAAATCTTCAGAGGACCATTCTGGTACGAGGAATATGGTGGAAAACTAGGGGCCAGATTTATTAAACAGGGCAGATTAGCATGAGAGCGCAATTCCCAAAACAGCGCTGATGGGAGTGGAAAGCTCTGCGCGTGATCTACTGACGACACAAATTAAAGAACACAGACGCAGCCGGATCATTTCCATAATGACCAACACAATCTACCAAGAGCAGCGCGAGTTAGCGTCTGGTTTAAAATGAGCTTTTTTGCCGATTTATAATGTTGCAAATACACAAATACAAATTGACTAGCGCAAACCTGTAAAAAAAAAGTAAATCACCTTGCATGATTCATTGAAATACTCTCCTCCCATAAACTTTGCGTCTGAAAGGGAAACTCCTACAAATGCATACGCAATAAGATCAGCCGCAAAAACAACCCTGTCCTCGCCTTTTCAGCGCTAATGTTTCACTGCGTGTCTTTAGTAAATCCTGACGGTAGTTTTTTAACGTTTGCACAGGCGCTAGCTGTTAGTAAATCTGGTCCCAAGTCTATGATATGTGCACATGTACCCTCATACTGATGACCTTAATCTCTCTGTCTCTCAGGGTGGCATTGCGTTTGTGGCTATTAAAGGGGCGTTTAAGGTCTATTTCAAGCAGCAGCAGTATCTCCGGCAGGCTCATCGCAAGATCCTTAATTTCCCCGAGCTGGAAGAGGCCTGAGCTCATCGACCGATTCCATCCTCCGTCATTCTGATTTCACGCAGCTTTAAGAGACACTACCGTGCCGCCACACTACTGGACATTTTTTTTTTTACAGAGGCTGGATTTGGTTTTCTTTTCCCTGTGAATGTGACTCTTCTGTTTGGAGTTTGAACAGTGATTCAGCTTTATTTCAGTCGACATAATCAGACCGAGGAGTCGTCTGTTACTTATTTTATGGGCTTTGACCTTTTAAGAAAGAGATTGAGGAAAAATAAATATTGGAAGAACGTTTTATATTAATAAGTGATTGTTTTATATTGAATTAGAAATGTTCGGGTGAATCCACATCTTTCTGAAGCTTTAAAGTATCCTTAACATGCAAACGACAACATGCCGTTTCACGTGAAGCACTTTTGCTGGTTCTTCCTCCATTAATTAGCCTAACAAATGGAATATTAAACATTTAAAGGCAAACATAAATACCTAAAGCAGTTCATAATGAGCTAATAAAATAACCTTTATTGTGTGGTGGTTCTTCTCAGATAAACTACTCAAAGAAATTGACCAATTTCACCCAAAAATCAAATATATTTTGCTTAGAATTTTTTTGTTTCAATATGAATTAGATTTAGTATGTATCATATACTACTATATAATATACTTAAATTTATGCTTTACAAATGTCTTTATTTGAAATATTTCACAAATCAAAAAAACGGCAAAAAATCCTAACCATAGGCTTTTTGAAACAACATTTTTATGCTGATTTTGGGGAGAAATATGATCCTGACAGCGTTCATTGTCTTGCCTGCCTTCGCATAATTTGATCGGCCTATCATCTTTATTTTCCATCTTTGTAGTGTTGATGTCTGAGTTTCAGGGAGTCACTTTTATAATTCAGAAATCATGTGATAATTTGATTGAGTCTGTTGAGAGCCTTGTAGAAACTAAGAATCCAGTCTGAGTGTTTGGTCCTTGATCGATTACTCTATTAAAACATTATGGTAACCGGATGCCTCATAACTGCTGTTAATAAACCTGTTTCATAATAGATAAATGGCCTCTGGTAGAACAGTAAACTTTTAAGAGTAACAGTGGCCTTTTTGTTAAACCACGACAATATGTGTGTCTTAAAGGTCACATGGTCCAGATGGACAAGTGTATTTGGTGAACATGCCAATTTTTTCTGAATCATTGTGTTTGATGACTTCTGATTCAAGAAGCTCATCTGGGAGAAAATACTATATAGATACAGTGCAGTAATGGCATACTGAGCAACAGTACACTACAGTGTGAATTTATTAAACATCATCTAGTGTGCATTGAGAGGCAGGTGTTTTATTTTAAAAAGCTTGTGTAATTAAAGGTGCAGTAAGCGATTTCTGAGAAACACTGTTGATATTTGAAATCAACCCAAACAAACACACCCCTCTCTTCATTGCTCCGCCCCCAACAATGCATTAAACGCAATGCAAGAGTGGATGTGTCTTTATCATAGCTGAAGCGAAGCAAAATAGAGCTTCGAGAAAAATAAAGCAAAGATGATGAACGAACGACAAGGAAGAACAAAAAATAAACATACAGTAAATACAAGCAAGAGTTGGTAGTTAGTCACCAGCAGCACAGCAGCTCCAGACAAACAATGACCCTCAAAACTGTCCTGTTACTACAGCTAACATTACAACAACAGCATATCTTAGTTCTGTGAAACACCAAAACCAATGTTACTCAGTTATGGAGCAAAAACAACAACCTTGGCGTCTGTTTTCAGGTCTTCCCGCTTTGGTCTCTCCAGCGCTGGAAAGCTTTTCTAATATTAACACGGGTCCAGCTCTTGCCTGATCAGAACCCTTCTTTTTCCAGTGATATTCCTCTGACCTTTTCTCTTTTGTAATGTCCCTCAGCCATCTCTCTTTCTACAGTCTTTCCTCTTGCTCACTCTCTCTCCTCCCCCATCATGAGTGGGCACGCCCCCTACTGCTGATTGGCTACAAGTGTGTTGTGGTGCTCGGTTCGATCCACTTTCAACAGCGTCTCCCAGAAATCACTTACTGCACCTTTAACTCCGCTTTACTCCTAATTAGCTGTTCGAGTATTATTTTTCCATAGAGCTAAAGCACATCATTAGAGCTTCTTGATGATAGACGTAACACTGAAAGAACATGCTTAATGTTGACATAGTTGCTAAAAATAGTGTTTATCTACACCAACTGCAAGACAGTTATTCTGTTGCCTAAATATGATTTTAAATTCTCACCATCTTTTCAGCATTTAATTGTGCTGTATAATTTCCACGGCACAGTAATGTCTCCTGTTGTACAGATGAAGCATAATGCCAAATACAGAACATGTATGTTGTATAAATTGATGAGTTGTACAGATACGGCTTCTGAATTTATAGTTTCTGGTTGATTTATGTAAATAAATGTATTTTTCCAAAGCTTGACTGTGTGTTGGGCAGATTCAGTTTTTAACTTGGACTAAAATCCCGGAGGATTTTCAATGCACGTCTCTTAGCTTTGAGATCAATTACTAGTGTACTCCTAAAATCTTTAGCATCAAGATGCAGAGTTGCTACCCTTCTGTAGTATTATTTTTCAGATAATCAGTCTTGCCTCATTGGTTGATCTATGTTCGTATGCACAGCCCAGTCAGATCCCTCAAGCGAATGGGTTGTAATGTGTGTGTGTGTGTTGATGCTTTGGGAACAGAACACACTTACATGCTTTATCTTTAAGGAGGCGATATGTAAACAAACAAAAACAGAAAAACAGGGACAATTATTGAGAGCAGGAACCCATAGGAATAAATGTATTTAAGGGTAATCTGAAATACTGAAATATTTACTCACTATATAAAATATTATCCAATATATTACAATATTATATAATATTTTACCCAATATAACCACTAATTATTTAATCTATAATTTAAAAAACCCCATTAGCTTATGCATATCCAATATGCATTTAAATACAATGAAAATACAGTATTTAAGTAACTTTAAAAAAGTTTAAGTTCAGATAAAAGTTTAATTGACCTTACATTACAATGTATTAAGTACAATTAAATTGTACAACTATGACTATTATGATGCTTACATTGTACATCGATAAGGATTATTTTAAAGAGGCCACATTATGCCCTTTTTTCAAAGTCTTGATTTTGTTTTTAGGGTCTACTAATAAGTTTTCATATTTGAATGTTAAAAAAAATATATTTTACATTGTTGCACTTCTTCTCTTCCCAGTCTGTCAGTAACGCTCTTGTTTAGTTCCTCCTTCCGAGGGGCTTCATAGCGCAATGTTCTCTGATTGGTCGACTCGACTGTACCAGTGTGTTGTGATTGGTCAACCGTTTCGAGCTCGTTTCGGAAATGCCACGGCTCTTACCATAACCGTGAGTTCCAACCATAGACTGTAACAAATATTTCAAACATGGTTTCAACACAATGCAACTCAACCGACCCTTTATTTTGCATATGCCTTGGGCGGGATTTATTTAAAGTTCGTTCCCAGAAGAAAACTCAAGACTAAAATTGAGGCGTTGCAGGGAATATGAATAATTAATCATGTGGAATCTATGCCAGGTAAAACTAACCCGGTTTCGATTTTTAGCTGGACATGCCATCAATTGCAAGACTGGATATAATCATAAGATAAATAAATCCAGATAAATAAAATCAGTCATGAAAACAAGTAAATTATGCAAGTGGAAACTTTATCACTTTTGCATCTTATAATTTTGAGATGTAAAACTGCATCACTGTGCATTGATGAAGTGAAGGTTGAAATGATTTTTATGGTAATAACATACAGGTGAAGTTGTACGGAAGCGTATTGCATTCACTTGAGGAAAAAAAATCTAGTCTGTTTTTCTGAATTAACGAGTTAATTATCTCAGAATTACGAGAATTTTTCATGTAAAAAAGTTTTTGCTGTTTTTCTGAATTAATGACTTAATTATCTCAAAATTATGAGTAACTAATTAATTCATAAAAATAGAGTGAAAAAAATGTTTTTCAAGAAAAATGCATCTCATAATTCTGAGATAATTAACTCGTTAATTCAGAAAAACAGTAGATTTTTTTCCTCAAGTGAATGCAATACGCTTCCGTAAAAAAGCACAAAGTGCAAATTGTATTTAACGCAGAATATTCCTTTAAATACCAATTATCTATTAAAAACCCTCCTTTTTAATGTTTAACAGGTTTAAGAATGTAAAACAAAATCTTTAATGCAGATCAAAGACAAAAAAAAGAGAGACAACAACTAAGTTCATACAATTGTTTAATGATCATAAAACAGAAATCTCTCCCACAGATACAGAGCTGTGCACCAGCACCATCCCCCAGTGTTCTGTTGCACTTCAAAACCACCTAATAAACTCGACACAAGACAGTCAGCAACTGAAGAACCGCTTCTACCTCACCACTGCAGCTCAGATCTAACCCGAATGCAACATCATCTTAAGACTCGTTCATGCAGAGTAACGCTCTTCTACATTTCTTTACTCTAATATTCTGCCTAGTGTTCAACCACAGTATGAGCAAACAACATGTGACATCAGGTTACAGGAAATGGTGAGAACCACAAGCATCTGTTGCAGAACTCTGAGCTGATTCTAGAACAGTTAAAGGGATTCGGGGTGCAACAAACGCTCCAACTGCATGCGAAACGCATCTTTGGATCTGAAAGTAATCTAAAAGTTTACTAACCACAAAATTTAAATAAATACAATAAAGTCATCAGTTACTCAACCTCGTGTTGTTTCAAAACCTGTATTTTCATCATTTCTTGGAACAAAAAGATCTTTAGCATCTTTTTTTCATCAAATAACAAGCATGCAGTGACCTAGAGCCAAATGAATGATTAGTTCACCCAAAAATGAAAATATTGTCATCATTTATTCACCATCACGTCATTCCAAAACTGTATGAAGCACAAAAGGAGATATTTTGAGAAATGTCTAATGTTGTTTGGACCCCAGCGTTCTTTGTGTCCCACAGAAGAGTGTCAGTCATGCAGGTTTGGAATGACAGTTTTCATATTTGGGTGAACTATCCCATAAAAGGTACCATCAAATCTTATCCGTATGACTGCTTGCGCTATGCATACCAAAATCGTGATAGATTTGTGGCGAACAGACAAATTGAATTCGTTATTCACTGAAAATCTAGAACTTTTATGGGCAGCTGTGATTTTCCACTTCAATTTCAGAGTTATTTTAGTATTATTTATATGCCATTAAAGCATTTATGATTTTGAATTAACTCGTTTTCAAGGTTTTTGGAATTTTGTGCGCTTTTGTCATTTTTATTAGTTTGCTTTTTTATATTTCCATTTAGCTTTATTTTTATTTCAATTTTAGTACTTCAACATAAATCGCAAAGGCAACATTTGTAATTACCATTTAAGATTTATCTAATATTTATTATTCATCTTTATTTTTTAATTGCCGAAAACATTGAAGTTTTTGTTTTAGTTAACAATAACACTGTCATAAAGCTATGAACGGCTTCAGAAGACCTGAGTTATGTTCGAGGCTTAAGAATATAGCACTCAAGTCGTATGGACTACTTTTATGGTTCCTTTTTTAAGAGCTTTACAATCACTTCTTTTTCCATGAAAGAAAATGCCATACAGGTTTGGAGTGCCAAGAGAACAAATAAAATCACTGCATTTACTGGATGAACACTGCCTTTAAATTCAAACCACCAAAACCAATGCAGTGAGATGCCTGAGTAAATCCATCTTAATGGTACAACCATCTCATCTATGAGGCTGATATCAGTTTTTACAGTTTGTTTTGTAGAGCATGATTCATTATTTTGATGGAGGTGGTAGGATGGTCGTTGTGTTTCTAAAAAAAAATGCAGCATTACAGTCGATTTGATACGCCTGAGTTAAGTCCAGAATTAATCTCAGCAGTAGAAACACAAGTGATGGTCAAGTCTTGGCTAGCACACACCTGAGATGAGGACACACGAGGATTACAGACTAACTTGATGTTCCTGCATCAATGCAGGTGAACTACAGCCTTCAGACACGTCACGTCTAGCTCTTGTCTAATCCGTGTCCTGAAACAAAGCTCAAACTGTGTCAAGCAAAATGCCAAGTAGAGTTAAAGACACTAGTCAAAGGTCCTGTAAGTCACATTATTGCTTGTGAAGAGTGCATTAATCACAAGTCAAGACATCAGAGATAAAAACAGGATTTCAGAGTCAGTTTCTCGTAACGACTTCCTGAAATTGTAAATGCTTCATGTGGATATCGGCGAATTAGATCCAACTGAGCATCTCGAAAAAGACAATCGGCACTATTCACAAAACACAAGATGAACGTATTCATGTGAAATGGTTTGCAAAACCAGTGGTGAATAAATTGATGCAGTCAATGATGTACTTTTTTTTTTATTCAAATAAAAAAAAAAATGTACACAAATTCATGTTTCATGAGTAGAATTTGTGTTTCTATTATGACACTGAGTTTGTCAAATAAATCAATATTATGAATCTTTGAAGGACAAAGTAACTTAAACAAATGAACATGACATTAAAAATTGTTTATTATATTTCTCCAACCGCAAATAAAATCAAGTTAACCACCTTGCATTTACAACACTATCCTTAAAGATAAAACTCTGCCAACATGCACAGAAACTAAAAACAACTCAAAAGCAAATTGTTTAAATTAAACATTAAAAAATGTGCCAGAAAACCTGATCACTGATTAAAATCATCTTAAGGCCAGTATTTCTTTTCTGGAGAGACACATCTTGATATACTTCACAACAGCCTCTCCAAATGCTCTAATGGTTTTGCTAAACAGTGGTGCAAATGAAATGAACAGCATTTTGTAATGAAACCGAATGATGAAAAAGTGTCGTCGTGGCCAGCGAGTGATTCCTATATTATATAGGGATACAAATGTCTTGACAGAAGCAATATGAATCAAACATTGTATCAGGGTATCTGCACATTTTTTAACAGCAAATTTAATGACTTTTAAGACCTTTTTAAGTCCTCTAAAAGGCAAATTTAAGACTTTACCACGACAAAAAAAACAGGAAAATGTTCAGCACGACACGACAGTGTTAATTTTGGCAGCCGTTTTTGTTTTAGTCTTAAAGTAACACTATGTAGTTTTTCAACCTTCATAATATATTTCCAAGACCCTTGTGATGGTACATCGACTTAAAATAAGTTAAATGACACGTCTGCCATAGCCTGACGTGGTCTGTATCGCTTTTACTGGCACTATGTAACTTCGGGTTTCGGGTAGGAACCCGTGCACAAAAAGAACTACAAAATTCGACTGCTTTACGGCATACGTCACTTCCCCCACCACTTCCTCAAATTGTCTGTGGCCATTGCAGGCATCCCAAGTCTCCCGGGAGTCTCCTGCGTCTCCCTGATGCCCGCAAATTAGTTCAGATCTGCCGGAATCTAGAGCGCGCATGCGAGACAGAACATACTGCGCGCATAACATACATAGCGCGAGCACGGCAGAGAGAGAGAGAGCGAGAGACCTTGCGAGTGTGCCTCACGAAAGCTAGTCAACCCGCCACCAGCCGCCCCCCCCGTCAACAATCCAGTCACCAAGATATACCTCCCTGAAATGACTTCTTGCAGGTTGGGATGTCTGCCATTGTTGATTCCAAAGCCGGTGCTGGATAAACAGCGAGCGTGCGCGTGCGACAGTCGGCTGCGGAAGGCTAAATTATTTACGACAGCAGTAATGGACAATTCTGCTTCCAAACTGTAGGGCGACCGCTGAGGAAAAATCACATGGTGTTGCTTTAAGATGAAAATGCTTATTGGTCTTAGTCACATTTTTGTAATTTTCTCTTTCATAGTTTTAGTCTAGTTTTAGTTGACAAAGTCATTGCATTTTTTTGTCAACTTTTAGTCAAACTTCAGTTACCGACATTAATTTTGGCAGCTATTTTATATGTCGTCTTTAGACAAAAAATGACATTATAATTTTTTGCTTTAGGCCAATTCAGTTAAGCTTATGAGACATTTGAATCAAGGTAACAGGCTGTATTGACAATTAACTCTTTAGCAGTAGCACTTGTGCAATTCTACATATCCCTGTTCCTTAGTTCAGTGGTACTCCAATTTTTTAGAGTGCCGTAACCCCTCTTGCACTTAGACTGCAGTCACACCTTTTCCATTAAGGGACAATATCTGCCCCTTTTAATCGATTTTTTCCAGTTAATTTTTTACCTTTATAAATACTTTTATAAAAGAAATAATGCTTTAAATAAAACAATGTTCAATAAATATGCAATGATGGTAAAAACGAGGTGATACTTTTTAACATTAAATTAAAATCGCCAGTAGGTGGCGGTAAGTCACTGTCTTTATGAGTGAGTCATCCGTCATCGAGTCATTCATTCATTCAGTATCAAACACAACAGTCTATGGTAACAAAGCAAGTGGCTGTATTTATGAACGGGTCATTGAATCTCACGATTCGTTCAAAGCCACAGATTCGTTCTCGAATCACCACTGTCTGCTGCCGTGGCTTTTGTTGCAAAATAGCAATAATATGCAATAATATGATCAACATTAAAAACACTGCTGGATATCAGCCTGTATTGATCGCAGATTTAGTCACACAAACAGCGCAAGCGGCTCGTGACAGAATAAAGACCAACTGAATGACACTTTAATTAATGTAAGTAGAAAATCTCAAATGAAGATCACTGAACTCCAGCTTACTTGTCAGTGTTTTCAGATCATCCGCGCTTCTTCAGCAGTGTAGAGAGCGCGCGCGAGCATGGTTGCCAGATACTATTGACAAGACCGGGTAGAAAGCGTGTTATTTTAACAGAAAAGCTCTGACTGGGGATTTAATTATTTAAATCTGGCAACCCGACCGTAAGCATGAACGGTCGTAAACACCGTCTGTAATGTGTTGTTGTCTCCTACAAGGAATTTAAGGTCCGTACGTGAAATTTAAGACCTCCTTATTGGAAATTGCAGATTTTAAGACATTTTCAGACCTTAAAAAGCGAAAATGTTATTTAAGACCTTTTAAGACTTTTTAAGGACCCGCGGGGACCCTGTGTATGTTTTCTAACTAAAAATGTTGCAAGCACCACTGTTGTGGCCCTGCCTGCTCACACGCACACAAACACACACTCACACAAACAGACAGACAACGATGTTACTGGCTCCATAATTGGGCGTCTCTGACAATCCCATGGTGCTGGTCACAGTTTGGCAGCCATGAAGTTGATGTGAGGTTTGGTGAGAGGGAACAGCGGCAGACTCCTTTTGAATTCGGTCATATCCTGAACTAATGATGGCTGAAAACACACACAGAGAGCAAAACAAAGAGTGAACTATATTTTTACATTAATAAAGAAAATGTGAGTGGTGCTTGGCCACAACACTTCCCGTCACAATGCTAAGGTGTTGTTAGTTGTTTATGAATAAAAAAATAAATAAAAATCAAAAATCTCTTCGGCTCACCAAGGCTGCATTTATTTGATCTAACGGCAATATTGTGAAATATTATTACAATATAACAACTATTGTAAGTAAAGTAAAGTTTAAAAAGTAGTTTATTCCTGTGATGACAAAGCTGAATTTTCAGTGTCACATGATCCTTCACAAATCATTCTAATATGCTAATTTGCTCGTCAAGAAACATTTCTTATTATTATCAATGTTGAAAACAGTTGTGCTGCTTAACATATTTGTGGAAACTGTGATTTTTTTTTTCCAGATTCTTTAATGAGCAGAAAGTTCACAACAATCATCTAATATTTGTAAAAAAAATAACGATCATTGGCAAAAGCGTATATTGCATAAACCCACATTGGACCACTAATGTACATATACATCTATGCAGTACCTGAGGAAGTGAGGGGGCAGGAGCCAGATTGACATCATTTTGAGCAGGAAACTCTCCAACCACTGGACCTGCAGGAAACACATGGTCGAAATAAATTAATCTGTCCAGCTGCATCAGTCAGTCCGATTAAAATGTCTCAGCCTCATTGTGTCAGTACTCACAGGAGTCCATCTCTCTAGACAGCACATGCACGGACACCTTGTGTCTTCTGGGGGCATCGATGGCCAACAAGTCCTGGAGAGAATAAACATGATCAAACCACATGACAAGATGATGAATTGGACTTTTGGAGACCTCACGAATAAATTAGCATTTGCAAAGGGAGCTGTTTATTGAAATTCATTGTTTATTCATACACAATTCACAAAATAATTCAAGTATAGATTAGATTTATAGATAATTTCTGCCTTAGATGTGCTTTTTATTTATGAATATATATATGATAACATATTTTTTTTCTTTAAAAAAAGCCTCTAGCTTGACAGCATGTAATGGACAGCATTGGCGTCTTGGTCCTTTTTTTGTGCATTTATTTGCATACTGAATTGCGATTGGTCCATTTATCAGGCATCAACAAAGGTGTTACATTGTGTCCAGATTCTTAACAGACGAAAAAAACAAAACAAGATGTGTGCTGAATGTCGAGGCAATTGCAAAATGAACCTTGATGCAAATGTTCTTTTACACAGAACAAAGTCTGAATTCTAAGCTTACCTTAAGCTTTAACGTTATTATTTTGCTACCTTTAAAGCACTGGAATTTTATTCAGGAAATGCAAATCCAATTATGATGATTTAAAAAAAAAAAAAAAACCATTTGTTTCAGAGTGATAATGTGTTCACTAACCCTGTAAAACTGCATAATGTGTTCCTTAGTCAGTGTCTTCAGGTAAGCAACTTCAATATTATCTAAATCAGGCAAGAAAATCAAGGAAAAACACATTAAAACTTCACAGATACTTCACGCAGAGTACGAGTTCATTTCAACAGCTAAATAACAACTCTCACCCCTGTCAAAGTTATACTGTTGGGAGATGATCTCTCCCCAGTACTTGGCACACTCGGCCGCCAGCTTCTTGGGTTTGTCGAGACGGCGAATGGTCAGTGCCTGGATGTGTTTCTGAAACGCTTCCTCTCCCATCTCCTCCACACTCTTCTCCATGGTCTTGAGGAAGGCCTCCACACGAGACTCCAGGTAGTGAGGAGCTTTTTCAGACTGGATGATGAAACGCAGACCCTGCACCCCATTGGCCCTGCGAGGGCCGCTGAACACAATGTAACCTGGACACAGGCAGAAATACATTATGTTCTTAAGATCAGTTTGATCAATAGGACGACAGGAACAGGCAGGGTTTGTAGAGTTTCATTTACAGAGGTGTTCATCCCATAACCACATCATTAGGTGTACACACATAACTGAGGACATTTCGGATTAGTGTTTGTGTTACCCAGCTGTTCTTTGGTGCGTAGCGTGTTGAAGCATGGCTCAGAGATGATTTGACAGAAGAGCTCCAGCAGCATGTTCTCATGGGTGTTCTGCATGTCCGTCTGATAGTAAATCTCGATTCCACAGTTATTATGAACATCGTTCCTCTGCTGGTAAACATACCAACCACCTGATAACCACAGAGAACTGGACTTAAACACAAGAACCATGACAAACACACACACACACAACAAACACACAAATATCATAGACCTCAAATTACACACCACAGATTCAGGTTTAACACCGAAAGTAAAAAGAAAATGTATTTACAATGCAAATATTTTTCTTAACAGAATTTTATACAAAAAAATAAATAAATCTGAACTGTCAGATAATAATGAATCAAAGTAGTGAAGTTTAGATTTTGTTTTAGATTGTCTGAAGTCCAAACGACCTTTCATTATTAATTCTGTCTATATGAATCTGTATATTGATGTAAACGGTTTAAAAGTTTGGGTCAGTAAGATCATTTTTTTAAATAAATAAATACTTAAAATTCAGCAAAGATGCAGCAAATTGATTAAAACGTTATAACTAAACAAGTTATAATTCTCATTTTAAATAAATGCTTTCTATTAAATCAAAGAAAAATAAATTCATCAGTTTCCACAAAAACATTAAGCAGCACAACCGTTTTCAACTTTGATAAGAAATATTTCTTGAGCAGCAAATCTGTATATTAGAATGATTTCTAAAGCATCATGCGACACATTATGGAATAAATTAGATTCTTTTTTTTTATTAAAACAGTCATTTTAAAATTGTAATAATATTTCAGAATATTACTGTTATACTGTTTTTTTTTTTTTTAATCAAATATATGTTGCCTTGGTGAGCAGAACGGACTTTTCAAAAACATTTAAAAAAAAAAAAATCTTACAGAGACCAGACTTCTGAACAGTAGTGTATATGTAGATACAAAGCTCAGAGTTGGAGAAAAGCTGAAAGAAAGTGTGTGTGTCCAGCTGAGATGTTGCATTTAAGTTTGTGGTGCTAGGCACTTACCGTCAGGCACCTGCACTTCCCTGTAGCGTATCAGCTGACTCGGTAGCAGGGGTTTAGTGTGAGCATGCTCAATGAGAGTGTCCTCCAACATTTGCATCATGCCCAGAGCAGACTAGAGACAACAGACAGACAACACTGCTTATATCACTAACTATAACATGATCATGAAAGCAAAATCCAACATTACACCATGTCAGGTAATGTGCGAGCTACTTCGATGAATCTTCAGTCAGCTCATATACATAGATATACAGGGATTTCAGTCACATTATGTTGTTGTATATTTTATAACAAAAACAAGATGTGTGACCACTCAAACATCCGAGGTTTGGTCTGAATCAGTTTTGTAGCAAATACTAGACACTAGAATACCAAATCATGGGTGGCGAATGGTACGTTTAATTTATTATTAGAGGAATAGTTTCAACCTGTCCGGACACAAACCTCTCTTCCCCCCCGCCTTTTCTCTACCTGTCATCTAGAAGAAATGATTTTTAAAACAAACCTGTTTGGTTATGTTGCCATGCAGCAGGGCTTCAATGTGTAACCGTGACAACAGCTGAGGTATGAACGCCTTCAGACGAGGTAACGTCACATCTGAGAAACACATTCACAGCATGAACACACATGGAGACCACAGCACTCGTATTGACAGGGCAATGAAAGAGTGTCGCACCATCCAGAGAGTCTCTGAGTTCGTCTTTGGTCCAGGCCACCTCGGTCATGAGGAGCCGCAGGTAATACATGGCGTGCTGGTGAGGCTGCTCAGCGCGGAAATTATTCAGAGACCTCATGTACTGAAAAAAATTAATAAAAAAACCTTCTCACACAAGTTTATTTTAGATCACACAGTTACAGATTAAGCACATTTTCTGTTGGTGTTTGGGATCAGTATATGATTACCAGGCCAAGGTGGAATCCACAGATATGTCTATATCATTTCTTTTGGGGAAATTCTTGGTAAAAACATGGTGAAATGTGTTAAAGAGTAGGGCTTCCCCCTAATAGTCGACTAAATGTTAGTCGGTGAGAAGAGGCTAAGTCTACCAAATTTGCAGAAACAAAAAACCTCCACAGGAATTGGCGAAGTCACGCAGTGACAGATAGATAGCTCATTACTATGATTAAGTATTATAAGTAATGTTAATGTATTGTAAGTCAACGTTACATATAATTTTCTTTCTCAGCCCTGAAACTCAAACCATTTTCTGATGCCACCTCTCCAGTAAATATTTATGTAATTAAAGTAACAAACAAATGGCTTAAATGAAAGACTACTAGTACTAGTCAACTAGAAAAGTCTTTAGTCAGGGTCAGCCCTAGTTAAGAGGAGCTGAAAGCACAATGAAATTAGACCAAATAAATTACAAGTAAACTACTGTGGAAATCAGTAGATTCCTTTGAGCGTACAGATTTGTGTTCTGTTCTTTATTCTTAGTATTTTAAGGAGTGTGTGTTTGTGTATGTGTCTCACCGCCTCCTTAATGATATCAAAGCGCTTCTCATCAATCTCAAATGTGGCCATTTTCTCCATGATCTTCTTCAGCAGGATGTGTTGTTTGTCACTATAACCCTTCACTGACAGCTGACGCACAAAGACAACAGCCATGAATATGCATTAGAATGAGTGATAAAAACAGCTCAAGAACAGACTTATCATCATCTTTACAATTTTGAAATGACATTAAAATGGAAGACACAGAGCACAGCACAGATGCAGACTAAAAACAACAAAGTTTCAAGTTAAGGGTTACATCTTCAGACAACCAATGCAGTGCATTCACTGTGATGAATGTGTATACAAACAATAAGGAGTAAGTGAATCACACAGCAAGTGAGGTTAGGAACAGCCCAGCTTTGCCACGTCATCCAAACCTTAGTCACCCAGTTTACCGCTGTTATTAACATCCACCTCGGTTGATCCTATCCAGTGATGGGGAAGCTACAGGTCAAGTAGTTGAAACAGTCAAGTTACCCATTAAGGCAAGACACTACAGGCAAAATGATGGTTTTATGCACTAGTCAATTTTGTGATTTTGGGCTATTTTCCTACCATAACATGTCTTTCAGAACAGTGAAAAGAAAACATCTAAAATACACAATTAAGTGTTTATTTCATTACACTTTCTATTTGCATCTGTAAGTTTCAAACACAATTAATTTATTGGTTTAATTTTAATGTGGTAAGCGGTTAACGCAGAGTATATTTAATAATACTAGGCATGTTATGTCAGTTTAAATGTATGCAAGCACAAAAAAATTCTGAGATATTTTGCAAATAACTCGGACGTTAGTCTGTTCCTTGCACAAACCTATCAAACGTATACAAGAGAATTTAAAGAATGCCACCAGTCATATGGACTAAGGTGCTTTTTGGAGGTCATTTTATTTTTGCAGCTTGACACTTATACATGTAAACTGTCTCTGTTTATTGTCTATTTTTGTTTTGTTCTTTTGGGCATATACCATTACAAACACCTAAACCCAGCACAAAATACAATAACCCTTAACAGTACCCAAGCAGACTGACCAGAGACAGATATTTTGAAGGTATAACATTCCATCACTCTGCAGAAAGCAGAAGAATAGACAAGCGACTGGCACACTCAAAAGCCACAAGCTCCGCCCTTCACCCAATAGACCGCCCCATTCTCCAAAGGGGGAGGGGCTTATCACCATACTTACAAGGATGGCATTCATTCCCGAGGCTATGCCATAGACCAACCCTGCCAGGCGGGCTGCATATGTATACTCTCTCAAATCATCCTTCAACAACCTGAGAAACAGGTAAGTCATGTTGCAGTGCAGCGGGTCTGCATATAGGTAGCGACTACCATGATGGAAGAAAGAAAAAAGGGAGGGGGAAATAGAACAAATGGAGTGATATTTGTATGGAAGGGTCATGACAAAACAAAAAGAAACGGATTGAGAGGGACCACAGACAGAGTATGAATATGCAGCCTCAGCTCCGGCACTAGTCTAAAGCTAGTCTACTGCTACTAATACATACGCAGAAAAAACAACAAGGAAAGAATGAGAAGAGTTTGTTGTTGTGTAAAAGCCACAAACAAAGCTACATTTGGGGTTACTATTACAAAGACAGAAACCACTGGTAGTCACTTGTTTGTACGTGAAGTTGGACCATCTTCCTCACAGGAAGAGCATGTGGCGAGGGGGATATTAGCATACTTACATACATCCCATAGACGGTATTTTGAAGGTCATAGCTCAGGCCGGCTAGCTCGGCTGCATATGCATACTCGTTCAGGGAGTCCTTGAGCAGCTCAAGGTACAAATACGCCATGTTACAATGCAACGGGTCCACGTACGCAAACGGGCTGTGGAAAGAACGTGAGTGATAAACCCTGTCTTTAAAAAGTTCTCTGAAGTATTAATTGTAGTTTCTTAATGGTATAGAGTAGTTAGAGCAGAATTTAACAGGAATAAAAAATAATTGCATTTCAATGACTTTAAAATGAGTATAAAAAGTATAAAGCAAAATAAGCTGACACCACTGCAAGAAAAAAAAAATTAAAACATCAGTAAAACCATTTTTTCATAACATTCAAGTAATTTGGGTGGACCTCATGACACTTGTCAAAAACATGTCTGGATCATATTTCATGTTAAAATCAAATGATATTAATTTTATTATACAACTATATTTTGCATATAAAAAAACAATTAAACCTATTTTTGAAAGATGTCATCCTCTTGACACATAAATGACAATTTAGCACCCTCCCACTAATTGTTGTTACAGTTATGCAAATTTTTAAATAAATAAAAAAGGAAATAAACATCATTGCAAAGTTTTTAATTTATGTTAAACCTACCTGAAAAACTCAAAGTTTAAACAAGCCTTGGGCAGGAAAAACTTGTCATCCTGTTTGAACCAAACTTTGCTCATTGCAGTGTCCTAAAAAAAAGGAACAAAGAAAAGCCAGATGACCCGATGCTTGCAAGTTTGAGAGACCATCAGATATTCTATTAAAGTTGCTCAAAGTGTAACCTGTACAATACGAGTTTCAGCAAAACATACCTTTATCAAGGTGGGGGCAGATGGGGAATCCTTCTCTAGAGGGTAAATCTCAAAGTTTGTTGGGATGAATTCATTCTTCATTGGCAGTTTGAACTTTCCATTGAGGTCTGCGTTTAGCCATTTCTGAAACACAAAAAAGAAACAATGATTTGTATTCTTCAAATTATTGTAATTACAGTAAACCACTTAAAATGAATCTGCTTATTGGTGGTCATAGTAAAGAGGTTAAGAGACTTAGCACAAGGCCAGTCTCCTTTGATCAAGTATATAATGCTCATAGTACATGGATCATCCATTCAACTTTTTGAGTTTCCCATCCAGACCATTTCCCAATAGTCTAAGTTCTGAATTAAAATCAAATGCGTCTAACCTTAATAACCTCATCAGTAATGGCTTCCTGTTTATACTGTGTGCCGTACCACTCCTCAGTCCGGTCTGTCTGTCCTTCAAATGATTTGGAGACCACAGCGACCCTAAAAGAAAGAAGAAAAAAAAAATGAAGCCAGAAGAATTGAAGATCACTGCACCAGACAGGGCATGACAGCATCCATTTCTCATGACTCCCTAGGGGAAAATGGGCAGTGCAATTTTGCTTTTATCAGATCTCTGGCTCTGTAAATAGATTGGGAATTATGGTCATTACATCAATCAAAGGTTCGAGTTTCCCGGAGCTTCTCAATCTGCTGTGCAGGGCTCTAGATCAATGCACCATTTCTGGACAATTTAGAACGCCATGATCGAGAGAACTTTTGGAACAATGACATGCTATTCTGGACTCTCCTGCATCAATCAATTGCATAAGAGAGCCCAGAATAGGTCGTCTAAAAACCTGAATACTCCTTTCCAAAATTAGTCCAAATCACACAAGGTTACCAGCAGGATACTGCAGTCTCAGAGACCATTCCCTCACTGTCTGATGCTTAGTGCACACAAAAACAGCAAGTGCTTTCTCAATCTGGCAAGCTTTAATTTGATTGGTGCTACACATTTTCCAGCACTCAGGGTGCACAGATTTTATCAGCCTTGCAGGAAATAAAAGTGGTGTTTACAAAAGTACTGGGTTGCTACAATGCGCACTTCTGAGAAAAAACTAGACACTGGATTTAGCAAAGTTTGACATTCATGAGCACTTAAACATTCACTTAAAGTAATCAGGATACACAAATGTTCATTTTGATTAAAATGTATGGTAACACTTTAGTTTAGGGTCGAATTATCACTATTAACTAGTTGCTTATTAGCATGCATATAACTAGGATATTGGCTTACGAACTAATGGCTTACAACTACCTTACTAACTATTAATAAGCAGTAATTAGCAATTTATTGAGGCAAAAAAGTCGTAGTTAACAGTTAGTTAATAGTGAGAATTGGACCCTAATCTGAAGTGTGACCAAATTTATTTCTGTCTAAAGGTCATTTCAATTTCCGATAAACCCACAGCTAAATGACACAATAACTGTGGCTGGTCACTTTAAATATGGTTCAGATGGTCTCTCCTGACTAAGTTGGCAGTTCTTGGCCAGAAAAAGCTAGATCAGATTTTATGCCGATAGCCAAAAGTCTGGCTGTGTGAGACTATGGCCTTCTAGTGTTGCAGTACTTTCAGAAAGGTCAGCGGTGTAGTTAATCACCGAGAAATATATGACAAGCAGCAAATCACCAGCTCTGAAGTCAAAGTCTTCGTCTTGATCTGAATAGTTTGGAAATACCAAGACAAAATGAAATACAGGAACCCTACAAGTTCTTCCATCCCCAAAACAACATGAGAGCAGCAATAGTAGGGTTGAGATCTACTTCAAACAGAGAGACAATACTCTTTTAAAGCTGAAAAGGAAATTGAATTTGAAAGCCTTCGTCACATTGGTGAGAATCTGAAGTGGGATTCTTACAAACACAGCAAGAAGATTCAGCTTCAACCACTTCAAAAACAAAGACTACCAATCTGAGCCCAATTTAGCCCTGAGCAGCAATGCATTAAAGAAGCCGATGTTTGCTTTGCACAGGTTCAAATATAAAGCTCCTTCAGTGGGTCTTTGAAGAGAGCGGCCAATGGCTGGACATCTATGTTAAACAAATCTCATCCTGAGGGGACAATAAACCACTTTTAGGTCCATCCACAGGTGCAACACCAATGACATTGTTTCAGTTTAATATTTGGGATTAGTGATTTGAACGAACCCCAAATCCTAAGAGAAATAGTAATATATCCTTAACCATCAATATAAAATAAAAATAATTCAGAGTGCTTTCTTTTATAGGTTATGCACATAAAAGTGTATACATGTAACAAAACAGAAAGAAGTCCTTGTATGTGTGGTCACCTGACATTCTCCGGCCTCAGTTTATCAAGCACCATCTCGATGAGGTCTGGCCTGAACTCCTCCAGTAAGTATTCTGCAGCTAGGATTTCCTCCAGCGGATAGTACTGACACACAGAAAGGTGATTTCAGCATCATACACAGAAACTGGGTATATGTTGTGCTCTCAATGAATATCTGATCTTTTCATAACCAATTGTTACGTTTTTTTATAGATTTATTTTAAATATTTGATATACGAGCACTGCATCCCACAATACAATGCACACAATGTTAAATATCAAATGTGACAAATGATCAAGAAGCAATAACAACAGTTATTAACATCCTTCTTGAAGAAAAGATTACATCAAATTAGTGCTTAAAAATAAAAATTCAAAATAGCTATTGTCTTTTTTTCTCAAGGCAAATGTTCAAAAAAGGCATTTTTGAAATAGACAGAATACAGTATACTGTATTGTATTACACCAGTCTCCCATACTAAACATAAAATATTTAACACCAGCTATGATTAATACAGAGCAGCACCCTGATGACACAAGCACCTGTAACCATGGTGACAACCTTTTAAAGTATTTTTAATGAGAGAGACACCTACATGCAGTAGTCCAGCCACTTTAGACGTGTATCCACGAGGACGTTCCTTATCCTTGAATCTGAAAGCCACAGTGTTCAAATCCTGCAAAAACCAAAATGTAGAGACAAATCAGTGATGTCCCAACCATCAAGTTTCATGGTTCCACTGTCATCAGCAGCAGCATGTGAAGACTCACCTGGTTTTTGTCAAAAAGGTTTGGAAACACATTAATTGATAATGAATTTTAAATTATTGGGTGAACTAGCCCTTCAGTTTTATTTTTTCCCAAATTCCATATTTTCCATTTTATTTTGTCTGGATTCTATTATTGATGATTTAATTATTCTCAAATAGCCAGAAAGGATGGCTAATCAATTGAATTCATAAAAGTTTATATGAATAATTAAATATTTTAACAATAATAGGTCCCCCTATGAATATTTCCCCCAGAAATTCTGCATTGTAAATTTTTTTCTGGATTCTGTATTTTTTGATGCAATGATCAAATGAATGCATAAAACAATTTAATCTTTTAATTTTTTTTGCAAACAGTGCTGCACAAAAGAGGTCTTACAGTTTTAAAGGGGTCATATAATGGTACATGCACTTTTTCAAGTTGATTGTACTGAAATGTGTGTTGGCAGTGCCTGTACACAACCATCATATAATGATAAAAATCCATCCAGTGTTTTTGTTTTAATCTCCTTATATGTTTTCCCCTGTCTCAAATCGAGCGGTTCGACCGTGTGACGTCACACGGTCGGACGCCCCTCCCGCGATTGTTGATTGACAGCCGGGTTTCAACACAGACCCGCCCTCGCTCGTGAGCCAGCTGTCAATCATAGTCTGCGCGGACCGGCGCGGTCATTGTTGATATGCTGGAGCACTGTCTATGAGCAGAATGGCGTCTAAGCGATTGTGGTGTTCTGTTCTTGGGTGCAATAATGAACACAGCAGTCATTTTGATGTTCCTAAATCCGAACCGCTGAAGGACGCAGTGGCTGAGTTTTGTTTTCGAAGGGAATATTCCCCACGAGCAACGTCAATGCTCTCATGTTTGCGTGAATCATTTCACACACCAGACTGCTTTATAAACTAGGGTCAGTATAAAGCTGGTTTTGCTAAGAAGCTGCACATGAAAAAAGGATCGGTACCAGATATTCGTGTTCCTGCTGAACCTCTAGAACAACTGAAGTGAGTGTAACGTTTTATTAACCTTTATATTAATATTTATATCTTTGCAAATCGCTAGCTGCATGCTTCACGATGAATGCGTCTAAGGTTTACACTCAGGGTACATTACGGCATATAATTCATAATCCCACGTTAATAATGAACAACGCGTTATGGTTATTGTGTTACAAACGTGTACACACAGAACAGAGGGGCGGGGTGAGCAAAGCTCATTATCATTTAAAGGCATATGCACTGAAACGGTGTGCTGAAAACAGAGCTGTTTTTGACCAGATAAAATAACTGTTTTCTTACAATACTAATGAGAATTTTTAATTAAAGTATATTACAAACCTTTAATTTAGACCCTAAAGAATAATATTAGCTTGTACAAAAATGGCATTATATGACCCCTTTAATTAAAACAGGCGAATTGTGTGATATTCCTAAGAGATTCATGTTTTAATAAACTGAATTCTTATTGTAAAGACTATAAGTACATTCCATTGCACAATAGTAATATATTTGTAATAATTTCTTCCATTTCTTTTGACAATAGTTTTATCAAATGAAATGGTGAAATGTACAGACCTATTTTTTATTTATTCATTATTATTTATTTATTTATTTTTAAGTGACATTTCATGTTACACACTAAATTTGGTTTTCATGACTGAATTCCACGATTCCGTCGGCTTTTTCTACATCATGGAAATCGTAGGGCCCTACTTTAACAAGAATGTTCATACCTTGCACTCCTGAAAGACCCACTCTTGAGGGCCCTCCGTCCGCAGCTTCTGAATGTACTGGAACATGTGGAAGATGATATCCTCGACATGCACTAGAGACAGAAAATACAGCATAAACAATCAAAAACATACTGACCAGCACAAATAGACAAACACACTCTAGGTCCTTACACAGCCCCTCTTCTGTCAAATCCACATTAATTATAAAGAACATGAATCCTCTGGCTCCTTCTTTCTGGCCTCCGACTAGCGTGTTCACCCATCCTGAAGAGAGACAGAGTGCATCCATGAACAACATACAGCAGAGAACGAAAATATATGGATCCAAGCTAGTGTTTTACAAGTCCAGTGCTGTGCTAGATTTTTAAGTCACATCATTTTTTGTCTGTTTTATCATTTAGGCACTTAAAGCTAAATCTATCTTTCCTGACAAACCTTTAGATTTGAGCTCAGACAGAAGACTCCCTGGACCCTCATGTCCGATCAGATGGCCCAGATAATGACCAGGATTTGATTTGTAGTACTTCTGCAGGTCGGGGATGGGGAAGGTCACGTACAAGTTTCTAATGTCCTTGATAGGCACGACTTTATAAAATTGCTGTGGGGGAAGAGAGAAGGAATGAAGATGAGTCAGACGCCAAGTAAACAGTAGCAGTGGCAGCACAACTGTTTTCAACACTGATAATAATAAGAAATGTTTCTTGAGCACCAAATTCAGCGCATTAGAATGATTTCTGAAAGGATCATGTGACACTGAAGATTGGAGTAATGATGCTAAAAATTAAGCTTTGATCACAACATTAAAACAGAAAACAGTTCTTTTAAATTGCAATGATATTTTACAATATAACTGATTTACTGTATTTCCGATCAAATAAATGTAAGCGTAAGAACCGCCTTTTAAAAAACATTAAATATTATTAACCCAACACTTTTGAACAGTACTGTATAATATTACAGTATAGCATTTCCTTTAGATGGCCCTCTCAAGGAGCAGGTTTAGGGTGTATTGTGCACAATTAGGGCTTAGATCTCACCCTCAGGTGTTCCTCCTGGAAAGGGTGTGTTGGGAATTCTGGGATGGGGACATTCTTGTTCTCTACCTCTCCAAAAAGTTTCACCACCATAGATGTCAAATCATCCAGCGTCTCTGTCAAAAATGTGTCAGACACAATGTTAAACCCAGAATGAAAGCACTTCATCTCTGCACCCTTCAGAATGCGTTTCAGTCTGTGCGAAAACAAACTATGAATCATTCAACAGAATGACAAAGAACAAGGAAGATCTAATGAAAGATTCAGCATCAGACTGAGACCGAACTGAGAAATCTGCTGTGCACTGCATGGAGATCACTGATCATTGCCTTTACTGTCAGCTACATTTATGTACGAAACTTGAGGATTCAGATTTTTTTTATTTTTATTAAACAGTGCATGTGAACATCTGGCATTTTGAAATGAGGAAAAATGTTCTTCACCCACTAGTGAGTTAAAAATGTAAGAAAATGATTCCAGGGATTTGTGGCTGGTGACTGACCTCTGCCCAGCACACACAATCCCATCAGATTGGAGGAGTAGAAGGTGGAGTGAAACTTGAGCAGCTCCTCACGGATATCGATGCCCTGTTGAGATGGCCTTGTCTCAAGAGTTAACTTATTGCCTAAACAAAAGAGACATTCCCAAAAAAACACTAATTAGTGGAAACAAACCTGCATGGACAAGCAAGTAATTAAAAAAAGTCAATAGCCATTTGATAGTTTGTACCAAGGGATGAAGGCAACTTTGAATTCACACAAACAGCTGCAGAGTGTGCAGACCTGCCAGAATCAAAATTGTGTATTTATGAGCTACTGCTGTACCATTAAGATCAGTGGTAGATGGTATTTAATTTAGGATGAGCAGGCATTCTAATACTGGGGACATTTTATTGGACCAAAAAATGCATTACATCAATAAATTGATTTCAATAGGTTTGATATTATGGTCTTTTAACAACACAGAAACGCTGATTTAATTACCAATACACATTTGTTTGCAAGCATTCATTTTATCAAATAAACATTTTTCTATGAGTGGTGCTGGTTAATGCGAGGGTAAAGGACAGAACAAACCACTTTTTTTAAGAGCAAGCAAGCCTTATATAACTCAAGGCCGCCACCATCTGGCTATTCTGGGCACAGATAAATCTTCTCAGAGTAGATTATGCTAAATCAATTTAGACATTATCCTCCAGATTTCTATTGTCCTTCACTGAGAATGAAGTATAGACAGCTTTTACAGTACCCAATGGGGGGGGGGAAAGGCATGTTTCAAATGATCTTAGGACTGAAAGGACAATATCTACATGAAAGATGCCATCAAATTAGAAGTGCAGTATTTCCATACCAGTGCCAAACTTGCTAAAAGGGTGTTTGGGGTTCCCAGTGGCTTTCTCCAACTGAAACAGCCTCCATGCATCATTCATGAGGTTCTTCTCATGTTCTGAATCCACTGCGTTCACCTCTCGGTCCTTACAGCTCTCATCAAACAGAGGACAGAGGAAGAACTGGGAAAACCTGGGATGACAAAGTCAAACGCCATTTGATGCACTGCTTGATAAAGTTCTCTTACACAGTCAATGTCAGCTTGCAGCTGCAGAACACTCCATGTTCCTGTTAAAAATCATTTGAATAAATAGAATCTGATCTTAAAAGACATGAATGGCAACTGCCATGCAAATAAACATACTTAGTGACTGAGATTAGGGCCCTGTGCCAAAGTGCACATAAAGTGTGTCATTGTAGTCTTGTGGACTTTCAATAATGTAAGGCAGGGGTCAGCAACAGGCGGCCCGCAGCCACATTATTTTGATAGCGGCTGTTTCTGAAATAGATCTGTCATGACAGCAACAGTTACTCACAATCACTTGTCGTCTTCAGTGATTTTGCCTTCAAAATAAAAGTACGAGAACGTTTTTGCAGCAATGTTTTATTTTGAGAAGAATGGAGAGCTTTTAATTTTAAAAGTTCTGAATTACATTCAAAAGAGTCTGTGGATCGCTTCGTTGCAGAAAAGACACACCAGCTTTGCATTCACAAAACTAGGTAGGATGAACGCATAATTGTCTTTCCATTCTTTTTGTATGCCCCATTTTCTTTGTCAACTTTCCTCTTTAGACTCTGATGTGCCATTTTCTCTCACTAGCTAGCTTAAACATCCCTCTGCAGTCTGCACACGACGTAATAGCGTACCTCCAGCAGGCAAACAATTTAAAAAAAAATGCAGTTTAGTACGTGAGGATGCCATGGAATAATTCTAAGTGTAAAAGTAGGCTACGTCAAATAATTATTACAATAAGTTAGGCTCCATTGTGTAACAAGCAAATTAAAATGACGCACATTTATTATTCACAATATGGAAAGAGAGGGGGAAAAAAGCCGTTTGTTCGTTAAGAGCATGACTCAAACATGCCATTAATGGGCTTATTCAAGTCCAAGTCCTATTTTTTTGTTTTGTTATTTTTATCCATTCCGCATCTGCCACATATGTGTGTTTTGGCAAGGCGGTCTGTGTTGCAAGTTGGTGAATGAAGATACTTGCCAGGTTACGTGTCACTACTGCTTTATTAATTTATCCAGTGTAAAACCTGGACACCGCCACCAAATGTAGCTTTTTGTTAATGACTGTCCTACTACAGGATTTAACAGAGTAACAGCTCACTAGCAATTACAAAAGACACTGTAACAGCCTGTCACAGGCAATTTTAGTTGCATTTATCAATTCATTTCTTAAATTATCCTTTGACTATGTTCTGGCCCGCCATATAGTGGCAAAATCTTTTTTGGCCCGATGCCAAACTTACTTAGCGACCCCGGTTGTAATGTTGTCCAAATTTTAAGACATTTTAAGACAAATGTTGGCTGTGCCATTTGTCATTTTAGATTTCAGAAGGGTGTTCGCAAGCACCTTCTTTGCGGCCGATATGCGCCCTCGATGCACACTTTTAGCACCACAGTAGACTTCTACCCGACTGTCAAAACAGTATTACGTCACGAAAGTGTGGACTCAAAAGAAAATCGCGAGGGCTTTGGGTTCCATTTGGGACAGGGCCTTTGACCGCTGAAAGTTACATGCTGATCTGCATTTTTGAAATATGTATCAAAGAAAAACACCTAAATTATGGCACAGGCAAAATATAGATTTCAAATCAATAAAAATAATGCAAGATAAAGTATAACAGCCTTTAAGACTTACCATAACGCCACTGTATTCTGGTGAGCCGAACATATTAAAATGAACAAATGGCAAGTTTAAGGGTGCCTACAAACTACCGTTTAAAATACGCCAAAGCACTATGAGAATCCCCTGACTTCAGGGATGGTGCATTGCAAAGAAAACATGCAAACATTTGGCAAAAAAATGACATTCCATCATGCAAACAACTACTGTTGCAAAAGGGTTCAGTGCTTTCAGTGCATGCCTGATTGAATTCAAAAGAATTTGGCTCTTTTTACACCCTCAAAACGTATCTTACACAATCCTACTTGCCAAACACTCCACCAGTGCTTTAAGTGTCTGATCTGATTGCATTTGAAATGTTTGTGAAATTCTTTTAATACAATTCTGAGTCATGACTCAGTTTTTAGAGATTAATCATGAATCATTTAAAGGGGTCATATGACGGTTCTAAAAAGAACATTATTTTATGTATTTTAATGCAATGCGTTTATGCGGTTTTAGGTTAAAAAAAGTAATTATTTTACACATACCGTTCATTATTTTTGCTCCTCTATGCCCCACCTTTCTCAAAAGCGTAGATTTTTACAAAGCTAATCTTTCTGAAAAGCGTGGTGTGCTCTGATTGGCCAGCGATCCAGTGCATTGTGATTGACCCGAATACCTAAAGGCTGATTTATACTTCTGCGTCGGACCTACACCAGTGCCTCTACGCTATACTACGCGTTGGTTTTCATTTATACTTCTGCGTCGTTGTCCGCGTTGACGCGCAAACAATTACACATGCAGAGGGAGCATGTGAAACCCGAAGGAGCAGTTCTGACAGGCCAATCACAGCATTTGCGTCCGCGTAGAATCGACACGTTGTTAAATTTTTGGAGAGGTGCACGTCAGGGTATGCCCGAAGGGTACGGGTGCTACACACAGCCTAAGACGAAGCTACGGCAGGAGGTCGACGCAGAAGTATAAATTGGGCTTTACACGTGTGACGGTAATGTAACGCCCCTTACCATATTGGGAACATCAGCTTCCAAAGCAATAATGACAGGTGATAATGTCAGTACTACAGCTATCAATTTCGAGCCCGAATCTGATCCGGAAAATGCAGATGACCAAGCTGATCGATCAACTTTGCCAGCACGACTGGACCAGAACATATCAGATTGGTAAGGTTTTATTTCATGGGGACATAATTGCTAATTATTTTTACTATTAAAATTACTAATAATGTCTTTTTATGCTTTGCGCCACACTATGGGGGGGGAGAACACTATGTAAACATAAAACCATGTCTGCATTTGTGATCGTAGAAACGACAAACGAGCGCTACTCTATACTGCTCAAAACTCGCATTTGAGTAGTCGGTAGCAAATTCTTAAAATATGAAAACATACTTACAGGCTGTGTCTGTGATTCAGAAGCGCTAGACTGTACTTGCAAATATGGAATTGCCCCACTTTTTAGAATCAGCTTTGTGCACAGCCGGCCTTTACTCTTCCAGGTTCTGGAAACAGTCCTCCGAAAAATGCACAGCACACAGTCGAATACTTTGGTTGTACTGTTCTGGAACAGTGTTGTAAATAAAGCTTAACAACTGTTTTCTAATTGTGTCCTCTTTTGGAAGGCCAAACAAAGTAGTTTGGATTTCGCAACAAAAAAACACAGCGTCTCCACGACATGGCGGCAACAATAACAGCGAGAATAAAAGTTACGCCTTCTTTCTTTGCGTATAAATTTGGGCGGTGTTAAGAAACTCTGCCCCCACATACTGACGTAGATTTGTGGGGACGAGTTTGAACGAAGCGTTTTCGGAAGGCGTGGCTGAGCCTTAACTTTTACAAAAATATCCCTTTGCGTTTGAGACTTTGAGCTTTGTAACTGCAGATCTTATACATGCACAAACCGCTACATAACACACTTAAGAAAAAGGAAAACAAGTAATCGCATCATCATATGACCCCTTTAAATGTTTCAATGAGCAGGTGGTGCTCTGGGTCACATGAGCAGATGGGCTCCGAGGGGAAACTCTGCTCTCTATATCCCAGCAACCCGATTCCTCCTGGACATGTAACTCCACACCGCTAGACACTGTGACACCTGAAGGTCTGAACTCTGTTCACCCTTTCACAAGTTCAAACAGCGCACACATTGCTCTTCAGCATCTAAAACAGACCAGCATTACAGATGCTTTTTTAATAAGTCACCAATTGCTCTTTTTTTTTTTGGATTAATTTACCTGTCCAATGCCCCTTGCAGATGCTCATGGGATACATCAAAGTAGTAATTTGTGTGCTCTCCACTGGTGAAGGCGTTGGAGCTGCCGGCATGCTCGCTCAAAAACTGGCTGTACTCGTTCTCTTTGGGGTACTTCTCAGTGCCCAGAAACAGCATGTGCTCACAGAAGTGGGCCAGTCCTGAAATGTTCTCAGGATCTGACAAAGAACCTGCAGGGCAGTTAGAAGAGAAAACCAGGATATTAGGAAGTGCAAGAAAACACTGCTTGCTTACACTCTGACACAAAAAGAGACAATCTTGAGCGTTTGACAAACTTGTCAATCGAGTTGACTTTTTCACTGGAAGACAACAAGTTCAGGCAGTCAAGAACTTCACGCTTGCTTAAATTTAAACCCATATATTTACACAAAGATCTGCATGAAGGTAAGCTACAATGTTAAAGGCATTGGAAAGCATAGACAACTGGCTGCGTCATAATATACTGTCAGAGAGGTTTCAAAGTCTTTAGCCATCGTTCAGACATTCAGCACGAATCAGATTCAAATCCACTTTGTTACCAGTCTGAACAGCAAAAAATAAAACAAAACAGAAAAAGCATAAAATACATGAACACAAATGTGTAAATTGTAAGTAAAAACACTTTTTAAAATTGTTGCATTAAATTCAATAGGACAATGTTGAATAATTGTATGAATCATTTAATCCAGATTCATGTTGACTCAAATCAGACTGTTGAACAAATTAATGAAAATAGCAGAATGATTGTGCAAATCACTCATAAAACATTAGGGCTATCCGTTACACTAAAATAAAACCAATTTACACAGGAACTGATGTATGAATGACTTAAATTCATTCTGCTTGATTTTAATGATTGAGGGCCTCTGACAAACCCGTCATTGCGCAAATGATCGGAGACTTTAGTCTATTTTTCAGAACTGAAAACTAATCGGAATAGTGTGCAGCTCGAACAAAGCCTCGAAAAAAAACTCTCTCAATGCATTCAATTGTGATTTTGGCCTTTTTTACAAAAGGCTCTTTTACAGTGTAATGAGGGAGTATTAAAGATAAGCAATGACATCTTTTTATCTGACCTACATCTTTACCTACAAATTGCAACACCATTTCATGCAAAGGACGGTTGTGTACATACTCTTGAACTATAAAGTGCTTTGATTGTTAAAAGCTGCACTTCCTGGCATCAGTTAACCCCACCCATTAGTCTGTGTTGACACACTGGGCAGCACTTCAGCTCGAATTCAAATAAAATGTTAAATTATTTTTTTCTCTCTTAAATAAAGCACTGAAAAGATTTAACTTGACACAAAAAAGGCTTCAATTACTTTTAAAGAGTGGCCTGTTCAGAAACAAAATTATTCAAAACTCTTGTGGGCTTTGAGTGTCTCTCCGCAACTTAAACCAGGACAAGGGCAGCCGCCAAGGTCCGGACTCTTAAAAATGGCTTTTTGAGGAAGGGAAAGCTACAGAGAAACAGATAGAGGCAACTCAATCAATTCTGTTAAATAGTTATTGATGGCCAATAATGAAGATTTGAGGCCAAGATGTCCTCGAGGTTAGTAATAAATAATCTGTGTTAAAATAGAACGGAGCAGAAAGCAAGTTGAGTGATGTGTCAAGCAGATATGTGCAGAATGAAGCAAAGAAATTCCCATTTACCTATGTGGACATCCAGTGCGGCTGACGATTTGTCAGTGGTGGGGTCACTGATGAGTATGGCTTTCAGCCCATTAGTAAAATCAAGTCCTCGATACTCCCGTTTGTCTTCTGGAGAACGAATGATATCACTCACCACCCTCTTGACAGCCGGATCACTCATTCTGACGGACAGAGTCGAGACACACCTGGATATGAAAAAGACATTTATTCAGAGTTAAGAAGTCAGGCATTATCAAACAAAGTCAAAGGCAAAACACACTCCATGTGACAAGTAAATTTCAGCTCCACAACAAAAAAACAGCCCGCCATGGGCCCCCCAAAAAAACACTATCAGACAGACAAATATAAAATATGGATTAAAACGTCATGTTTAGTAATTTAGTTTCAGTAGTATTTTAATTCTTTAGTTTAAACGTTACCCTTTCATTTAAATGAGGTTTAGACCATTAATTTAGCTTAAATTAAAACATAGTGCTTTATGATTAGTTTAGTATATTTAGTTTACTGAGAAACTCCATTAGTTTAACAGTTAGTACTTTAACCCACGGTTTCACAGACCAGGCGTAAGCCTAGTCCTAGACTAAAACGCATGTTTGAGCTGTTTTAACTGAAAACTTGCACTGACATTACCTTAAAATATATCAGTGCCTTTGTTTTGTCTCGAGATGCACACCAGCAATGTTTGTTTTTCTAAGTCACATTTATAAAAGTAACTTAATTGTCCTAATCGAACTAAAACCTAATCCTGGCTTAAACTAAGCCCTGTCTGTAAAACCAGGCCTAAGTGTCAATTTAGTCCATTAGTTTATTTGAAACGCAAGTTCAGGTTTAGTTTGAGATTAAGTTGAGGGGTTTAGTTGATATTAAGTTTTGTACATTAGTGTAGTTTATTGATTTAGTTATGTGTAGGTTTAGTTTCCGTGTAAGTTTAGTCTAGTTTAAACAGTCCAGTCGGCTTTAAGCGTTTTCGTCTTTTTAAAAAAAATATTGACTAACAGCTGAGTTATATAAAACAACAATGACAAATTCTTAAAAATCAAACATCTTCAGAATAAAAACAAAACAAAACAATATTTGTGAGACTGTGTCACGAGCAAATGCTATCGCGCGCGAGAGCAACACACGAGCCCGACGCCAGCGAACCGGGCCGCTCGTTGAACGAACTAAAAAACAAAGCAGAAATTTGACACTTACCTAATACTTCGAATGAAAACTGTGGATAAGATCATAAAATCGGAAGATAACTCGCTGTAAGGGCCCACCGGTTAACACATTTCTGCATACTTCAGTGCTGGATATCAAAACTCTGCTTAAGACGTCAGGACGCCATGTTCTGCAGACGTAACCAATCAATCTCAGAGCATCTAAAGCAGATTTTTACGTACCTTTCATTAATATACGATAATACAAAATACGTGCAATATATACGCAAATAGAACAAGTATTTGTATCAAATATATATGTTTAAAATACCCTCTGTTTTCCCGAAGTAGTTGGAATTGCTTAGTCACGCCTTGTCTACGATTGACGTTACGAAACAGACCACACCCACATCCAGGTTTAGTGGAGAGCACGTTGAGTATTTAAAGAGACACATGATTTAAAGGGATAGTTCACAGAAAAATTAAAAACTGTCATCATTTACAAGTTGTTCCAAACCTGTATGAGTTTCTTTCTACTGTTGAACACCAAAGAACATATTTTGAAGAATGTCAGTAACCAAACAGTTGATGGGTCCCACTCCCATTGTGTTATTATTAGATAGTCTTTGTTGACTTCCATAGTAGGAAAAAAATACTATGGAAGTCAATGGGTGCCATCAACTGTGGTTACCAACATTGTTAAATATCTTCTTTTGTGTTCAGCAGAAGAAAGAAACTCATACATGTTTGGAACAACTTGAGGGTGAGTAAATGATGACAATATTTTCATTTTTGGGTGAAGTATATCCATTTAAATGATCGTTTCTAGGTTTCCAGAATATTTAGTAGTAACTGGAAAAGATGTGGAATTAGAGAAAGACCACAGAAATTGGACTTTGGGGAAGTTTTATCATAGTGAAAGGCTTAGTGTTATTTTTTATTATTATTATTTTATTACTGAATGAACATTATCATTATACATGAATTTTCGTTCAAATGCAAATAGAGAACATCATTATGCATACAAAAATAAAACAGAACAAAACTAAAAATAAATAAATAAAAAGCCTGGGGTTGGGGGGCACTTAAAAAAAAAAAATAGAATAAGAGTACAATCGGGTAATTATAAATTAGGAAATGAGGAAAATATTCAACTGGTCTAAATTAGGAGCTGATTAGTGGTGAACTTAAACATTTATGCACAAATTGCTTGTTTTACAATATGAAAATACGTTGCTATAACCGCTGTTTATCAATATGGAAAATTAATGTTTTAAAGTTTCAAGAATATGTGTGAAATGTATACTTATTGGCTGCTTTAACAATCATGCATCTAAATTTCAATGCTCAAGACCGTCCACTGAGTGGCTCGCCGTGATCGTATAGTGGTTAGTACTCTGCGTTGTGGCCGCAGCAACCCCGGTTCGAATCCGGGTCACGGCATTGTTTTTGTTAGATAAAATCCCGAAGACATTATTATTACAGATTCTGAGTGTTCCAAATTTGACAGGTCACGACGGTTACAGAGTAAGATCTCAGATACCCATGACCGACGAAAAGACTGACCCACTTGAACGCTCACGTAATCACGTTATGGATGCGCCAGTGTTGTCCTGACGTCGATCATAGTACACTAATCCGTGTAGTTTTACTTACTTCCGCTAGGTGGTGAAATATTAAAGAATATGAACTATGTACATATGAGCTGAGTTTTAAACCCTGGTGTTTTCAATGACGTTTACATACTTGCAATTCATGCAATTCTGGGTTGATTAAAATATCATGTTTTACAATTATACTCTACTGATCTCACGTAAACCGTGTAAGTAGTTTGTATGGGTTTGATCACCATTATGATCACACCATTATGACTGAAGGTCTGATAAATCAGCTGATCCGGTGTTGGTCGATGTTTGACTTAGTGTCGCTCCTCCTTCATAACCACAAAACTCTGCTCTAAAACTCCAAGAAACTCATTCACTCTCACAGTCTGATTCCAGCAAACCCCATTTAACTCATCTAGTACCTCAGAATTGTTAAACATGGAGACTGTTTCATCACACACACGTGAATCCAGCAGTAAGAGGAAAGTGATCGCGGTAGTGGGAGGCGGTTTGGTGAGAATCATTGCATCTTTATGACTTGATTACATATCTTATAATGCTGTCAATCACCATTTACTGTCTGTATCAAATCAATCACTGGATGTTTGAGTATTTGAAAAATCACTCAGAAAATGACAGACCAATGAAGGAAAGTTGAATTTAGCCTAGTTTGAGTCTGACTCGGGTGGTCTGTTAGATGTTTTACTCATTAGAGAATGTTTGCTATAAAAAATAAGTGGACAATTATTTTTTAATGTGACCTTTGTTAATCTCAGTTCATTCAGAGATTGTAATTCTAACATACTGTAGGCTACACGAGAAGCATGTTAATGATTGACAAAGTGGTTATGAAACTCTGTAAATGTTAAATTATGTTACAGAAGGTGTTGACATTAACATTTAATGATGAAACGCATTCAAATGAGACTTTAGGGAAATTTAGTCAAATTGAATTCTTTATGAGTTTGAAACTGTATAAACCAACTTAAGGTTAAACGTTCTTCTGATATTATGCTTAAGGAAGTGACATCAATCAGATTGATGATAAAAATATGATATTATTACATAATATTGCACTTGGCACAAAGCACAAGAATAGTGTCTGTAAATAATATGGTGCAATGATATTTGTTGGTTAGACCTGGTATTTTGGGCCTGAGAAAGTTCAGCAGTACCCGTTTCAAATAAAATGATTAAAATAAAATCAGCCAGAATCTTCAGTTCTTCAGTCTCTTTAATTCCTCCTACTTTACTATGCTTAAAAGTTTATAGTTAAGTATAAGTTCATAGGAAATAAAATAGGTCATTGCAAGCTTTCCGGCTCTAGAATCCAAAGTAATTTTCAACACTCTTACAAAAATGTACTGTGACTGAATCATGGTGCAGGTGGTATAATGTGATGGTAAATTATTAACATTTTCAAATACCATGATATGTAGGCTACTATTTACACTGCACATGGTATTATCACAGCACATATCCAAAAAACATGCGGCCACTTATTTGATACGTTTGTGTTTTTTGTTAGTACATGCACAGATATTATTACGGTCATAATCTACTTCTTCTTCTAAACCTGTCATTTTAGGTTGGATCTTTGAACGCCTGCTTCTTTGCCAAACGAGGATTTGACGTTGCAGTATTTGAATCTCGGGAAGGTGAAGAACTTTATCTCTTAAACCAGCATTAATCTAAACTTTATTTGAAGGCTGTGATTCTGCATCTCAATGAAATCGCTTCACTTTCTATTATTCATACGGCATATGCAACATCTTTAAGCACACTTATAATCTTGTGGAAGGAATTAAGATAGAAATAAGGGATTAAAATGTCTTCCTAACTTGTGTTTCAACTAACCTGTTCATTCAAACTTTTTGTCCTGTTAGATATTCGGCAGGCAAAAGTCGTGAGGGGTCGAAGCATCAACTTGGCCCTGTCCCATAGGGGGCGCCAGGCCCTGAAACATGTGGGAATGGAGGATAAGGTGGGTTATAGTCATTTACCTGTTTATTGTGGGAGTTTCCTGCAGTTTACATACATTTGTGTCCTCTTTATAAGAGAGCTGTTTATAATTGCTCAAACTGGAAAGATATCATGAAAACATATTTTCACTCTATTAAATAATGCACAGTGAATAAGTAGCCTAGTAAGTAGTCATTAGCATATGCTTTTATCTACAGTGACTTACAGTATAGGACATTTATTAAAATACACAATACCCCTGAAGTTGGCTTCATTGTGTTACCCATTTCCATCACGATGTATGTTTTTTAGAGGCATGTAAATGAATTGCTTCATTGCAAAGAACTTGCCTAACTAGTATTTTCTATAACAACTCATAATTTTTGTGTGGTGGCTGAGCTAGTAAACTTTTCCACAGAGGGAAGTAAAGAAAATACCACGAGGAAGTGTGAACATGTGAAACTAGGTCAAATGGTACTTACACTAAGTACTTACACAGTCATTACAGAAGTATTGAATTTTGGTACAGATTTATAATGTATTTTGTCAGCACATATAGTGAGCATAGTCTCTGTGATTTTATACTTGTGTGACTTTTCAGCCTGACCGAGCCAGGAATGCCAGACCAGGAACCCTGAGTTAACACGACTTTTCATATCTGACAGAGTGTGACAGTCAGTCTGAAGCGTTAGATGTATAAGGTGGATGGATGCAGCTGCTGCGAGCCCTTGTATTTGAAATGCATAAAGTGATTTACCTAAGCAGGACATCTGCCTGGATCAACATCCTTTGTTGGTCCTGGAACAACATTCCCATCAACCCAAATTAGATTTAGGGTTACGTTTAGGGGCTTTGGTAATGTCTTACAAGTTGAATAAAATCATGTACATATATATATATATATTTATATATGAAAAAATAATACTTTTATTCAAGAAGGATGTATTAAAGTATTTTCAACATTGATAATAATAAGAAATGTTTATTGAGCAGCAAATCAGCGTATTATAATGATTTCCGAAGGATCATGTGACACTGAAGACTGGAGTAATGATGCTAAAAATTAAATAAATATTGTTCCCGATACAATTTCCTTGCTGATTTAATGTCTTTAACAGTAAGAGACAGTCAAATCTGTTTTTTCTTTTCTTTTAGATAGTCTCTAAAGGCATTCCCATGCATGCCCGTATGATCCATAATACGAATGGAAAACGTTCTCCCATACCCTACGGCAAGAAGGGACAGGTAACAAATAACTATTTACATGTCTCATCACATATATAGCTTCAAATTGTTACCCTCTGGATGCTTACCTCAGTCAAGTCAAGTCAAGTCAAATTTATTTGTATAGCGCTACACAATACAAATTGTTTCAAAGCAGCTTTACAAAAAATCATGAAGGTAATGTTTATAATAACTTCATGCCTTATAGTTGCATTTAGCAGATTAGAGCTGGACGATAATATAGGCTAGTTTACATTATGCAACAATATACAAGCAATCTAGCAGATGAGATATGCTATAGCGTTCAGAATTGCTGTCACATGACAGGTTGTTGTAAAGATATTGCGCAGTTATAGGGTTATTCACCCACTAGTTGAGAACATTTATATCAGACATACATTCATGAATGAAGTCCGCTGATACATAACTAATGCACCATGACCAGTGACCCCAGCAGAGTCAATACAGCCTTCTCCTTTAAAACCAGTTTGTTAATCATTACAATTATAATGTACACATAAAAGTGTCAATTAGGACTTTGTCATTGCCTTTTTTCCTTCTGTTTATGAGAAATCTGCACTTATGTTTCGTTTCCTGTCATATTGTATCTACACCTTTCCATGCAAAAAAGGAATTATAACATAAAAAGATAAATATATTTATCTCAAACACACATAAATGTAAATAAATATTGAAAAGGGAGAAAAATATATTTTGTGGTTTGTATCAAATGTGACAGTAGTTTGACAGAAATGCATCCGAACGTAAAGCAACATGTATAGATTGCTTTACATTCCCTTATCATTGAAAATGACTAAATAAAAAAAACCCTAATAACTAATAAGAAACTAATTCAAAAATTAGAAGTATATACAATTTAGAAGTATACAATTTGGATAATTTTGCAAATTAATACATTTACATTTTTGGGCCTGTGTAGGTTATCATATTATCATTGAAATTTATGGGGAACTTTAAAAAAGTAAGATGTGTATCATTTGAATAATTTAGCATATGAATAAATTAGCATTTATCATATTATTCACTGTTGTTCAATAGACTATTTTATGTTAAATAATAAATATTAGGCCTGAAGCAAAACTTTGAGAACCACTATTCTGAATATTCTTGTTGAAAATCCTGTTTCACTGAGAAATATATCACAGCCTGGAAATTGGTTGTGGAGACACTGTTTCATATTGACGTATGAGGCAAAAAGCCCTCAGATACGCTTTAAAAACCGTGGACATGGGAAAGTTTCTCTGACCTAGTGTTTGTGAGTCATGAGGTTTGCAGAGATTATGATTACTAGAAACCAGCAGATGGACAGAAACAGAACTGCATTTAAATCATTATCTTATTACTACTGCTGTGTAATCTTCTCATAACACACACACACACACACACACACACACACACACACACACACTGGATTGATGGCAGTGATGTGTTTCATGATGCTAAGCTGTAGATAGTGTATATTGGAGATCAGGTGACTGAACTCAACATCTGTCGTGAATCCATCATTTTAGATTAAAAATATGTAATGCAGAACATGCATAATAGGGATTAAACTAGTCATTATTCCACTGGCGGACTGACTCTAAGCACCCTAAACATGCTGTGATGATGCTGTTTCTTTTGTAGTACATCCTCTCAGTGGACAGAGCCAACCTCAACAAGGAGCTGCTAGCAGGTAGAACCGTTCCTTCAACCAACTTCATTCAAAAGCAGTTGAAAACACTCAATGTGCCACTTTATATCAAATCATATTTCAATATAATAAAGGTATATATATTTTGGGTTCTTTTAAAGAAACCCTGTGTCCCTATTTGCATATACACTCACCTAAAGGATTATTAGGAAAACCATACTAATACTGTGTTTGACCCCCTTTCGCCTTCAGAACTGCCTTAATTCTACGTGGCATTGATTCAACAAGGTGCTGAAAGCATTCTTTAGAAATGTTGGCCAATATTGATAGGATAGCATCTTGCAGTTGATGGAGATTTGTGGGATGCACATCCAGGGCACGAAGCTCCCGTTCCACCACATCCCAAAATGCTCTATTGGGTTGAGATCTGGTGACTGTGGGGGCCATTTTAGTACAGTGAACTCATTGTCATGTTCAAGAAACCAATTTGAAATGATTCGAGCTTTGTGACATGGTGCATTATCCTGCTGGAAGTAGCCATCAGAGGATGGGTACATGGTGGCCATAAAGGGATGGACATGGTCAGAAACAATGCTCAGGTAGGCCGTGGCATTTAAACGATGCCCAATTGGCACTAAGGGGCCTAAAGTGTGCCAAGAAAACATCCCCCACACCATTACACCACCACCACCAGCCTGCACAGTGGTAACAAGGCATAATGGATCCATGTTCTCATTCTGTTTACGCCAAATTCTGACTCTACCATCTGAATGTCTCAACAGAAATCGAGACTCATCAAACCAGGCAACATTTTTCCAGTCTTCAACTGTCCAATTTTGGTGAGCTCTTGCAAATTGTAGCCTCTTTTTCCTATTTGTAGTGGAGATGAGTGGTACCCGGTGGGGTCTTCTGCTGTTGTAGCCCATCCGCCTCAAGGTTGTGCGTGTTGTGGCTTCACAAATGCTTTGACTGAAATAACCACTTGTTACAACCAAGGTATGCAGCAAAGTTGCTCTTCTATCAGCTTGAATCAGTCGGCCCATTCTCCTCTGACCTCTAGCATCAACAAGGCATTTTCGCCCACAGGACTGCCGCATACTGGATGTTTTTCCCTTTTCACACCATTCTTTGTAAACCCTAGAAATGGTTGTGCGTGAAAATCCCAGTAACTGAGCAGATTGTGAAATACTCAGACCGGCCCGTCTGGCACCAACAACCATGCCACGCTCAAAATGGCTTAAATCACCTTTCTTTCCCATTCTGACATTCAGTTTGGAGCTCAGGAGATTGTCTTGACCAGGACCACACCCCTAAATGCATTGAAGCAACTGCCATGTGATTGGTTGATTAGATAATTGCATTAATGAGAAATTGAACAGGTGTTTCTAATAATCCTTTAGGTGAGTGTATATCCTGAGTGGTATGCAAGTGTTTCTCTCTCTTTTCAACTTTTTTCTTCATTTGCCCACTTTTAACCGGTAAATTCCTGATGGATAAAATCAAGTCCTTCCCTATTATTATTGTTTATTCATTTTCTCTTATTGAATATCCAAATTCAATTTTAAATAAACTAGCATTCAAAAGTTTGGGGTTGGTAAGATTTTGAAATGTTTAAATGTGAGAAGTCTCTTCTGCTCACCAATCCGGCATTTATTTAATAAAAAAATACAGTGAAAACAGTAACATTATGGAAATATTATTGCAATTTAAAATATCTGTTTTCCATTTTAGTATATTTTAAAATGTATTCCTGTGATGTCATTACTCCAGTCTTCAGTCAAACAATGTAAAAGTGTCTGTTGTCACCTTTGCTCAGTTTAATGCATCCTTGCAGAATAAACATATTAATTTATTTTGAAAAATCTTACCTTAACTTCCAAACTATTAATGGTAGCACATTAGACTATGGTTGCAAATTTGTGAATGCTATGTCATGATGACTAAAGGGTAGTACATCTAAGGTGTAATACCTGTAAGTTAACAAGAAATACATTTCAAGTACATACTTTTTGTGCTGAGGATATGAACTGGGATGCAGTCAAATGTATGAATGCTTTTATTTACTGAATAAACATGCCGAATTGAAATGTTTTCTTGCAGCGGCAGACACATTTCCAAACACTACACTGAACTTTAATCACAAGCTGCATGAGTGGAGTCCAAAAACAGGAGCAATGACCTTTATTGGGTAAACAGTGTCTCTTTCTCTCTTATTGTCTTTCTGTCTCTATTTTGGACATGGTAATGCCATGTTTTGGGGTAAATTATACTATGGTATTCTTTGAAACACCATGTGAAGGAATAGTTAAATATTCTGACATTATTTACTGACCTTCATGTCATTACAAACATTTTAAAAAACAAACATGCAGGTTTGGAATGATGTGGGTATATACATAATGACAGAATTTTAATTTCTAGGTGAACTATACCTTTAAGAATGTGACTTCAATCACTGGGGTCAGGTTTGGCTGCCTGACAGGGTCATGTGATCACAAGAGTTTCCAATTCACTTCAGTCTGTGGATATTCCGTGTGAATTAGATTACATTTCAGTAGAGATGCAAATGAGATCTGGTCTCTCCACAGACCTGATGGCCAAAGGAAGGAGTTGCAGGCTGATCTGATCGTAGGCTGCGATGGAGCTTTCTCTGCTGTCAGGAAGCAGTTCTTACGGCAAAGTCGTTTCAATTACAGCCAGACGTACATTCCCCACGGGTACATGGAGCTCACCATCCCTCCTAAAGACGGAGATGTAAGCGTCACAGCATGTTATCCGGCAGTCTTCATACATATCTGACCTCATTTTGACTGTTCACATCTCTCTTTCTCTCTCCCCGTCCTCTAAGTTTGCGATGGAGCCCAATTATTTGCACATTTGGCCCAGGAACACTTTTATGATGATTGCCCTGCCTAACTTGGTGAGGTCATTCAATAATTTCCTGTGTTTTTTACCCTGTTATATTGCTGTTTTTTAACTTACATGCAGAGTTTTTTTACATTATTTTTTTTATTACAAGTTTTTTTTATTATTATTATAATAATCAGATATTAAAGAATATTTTATTATTTGATCAACTTTTTTGTGATTATCTATTCATTATTATTAAATATTAAAGAATATTTTATTATTTATTAAAATGCTTGTGATTTTTTTTAAATATTAAACAATATATTGTTATTTTATAAGTTTTTGTGAGTATCTATTCATTCATTTTTTTGTGATTATTATTATTATTTTATAGAATATTTTATTATTTATTTTTATGATAATAATAACAATAATTATTATTGTTGTTGTTTTTAAATATTAAAGAATATTAAAGAATATTTTATTATTTATTACAGTTTTCTGTTATTTTCTATTAATTTTTTTAGATTATAATTATTAAATTATTATTATTGTTTTAATTTATAGAATATTGTATTATTTTAAGATTTCGTTTTTTATAATTGTTTTTTAATAATCTATTCATTCATTCATCTATTCATCTGATTATTATTATTTTATAGAATATTATATTATTATTTTTGAACAATAATAATTTATATTATTGTTTTTAAATATTAATGCATATTTTATAATTGTAGTATTTATTCGTTTTCTGTGATGATTCATTATTACTATTTATTAAAGTAATTTTTGTGAGTATGATAATAATAATTGTTTTTAAATATTAAGGAATATTGTATTATTTATTAAAGTTTTCTGTGACTTTTTCAGTTGTTTGAGATCATAATTATTATTGCCGTATTATTTCTGATGTGGTCTTTTATAGTGTATTTCATGTCTGTGTTTTTTAATAGTATATTCAGGGTCTTTAGAATTACTGTTTAATGACAATTGTTTATGAATAATTAAAATAATTCGGCCTCCAAATGCATTTTGAAGGTACATTATAATCTTTTGCTTCGGTTATGTTGTAGTTTCCTTGTGGAAAATCATGTTCCTTTTGATTTTGTTTCTGAAGGACAGGACGTTCACATGCACCCTCTTCATGCCCTTTGAAGATTTCGAGAAGATCCGCAGTGGTGACGAGGTCATTCGTTTCTTCCAGAAATACTTCCCTGACTCTATACCTCTAATAGGAGTGTGAGTACAGTTCTCTCTCTCTCTTTCAGTCTGCTTCATGCTGCTCTCAGGTCTAAAGTACATCTTGGTTAGGTGTGAAATTGCAGTCTAACAGGTCAGCGGGTGTTTTTTTTTTTAATGAATGCTGCGATGATGGGGAGATACAGTACTGAGATGACAGTGAGTGATTCCAAGCCTCAAAGAACTGTAAATGAGTTTCAAACATCTACTGTAGGTGCTGTTCAGCATGTGAGAGTCAACTGAAGATGTTCTCCTTATTTACATTTGCTTGTAAAAATTAATCATCACTCTATGTTACACATACTTGAGCATTGAAAGTTCCAACAAAAAGACAAAAGTTTGAGGTTGGAAAGATTTTTTAATGTTTTTGAAAAAAATCTCTTATGCTCACCAAGGCTGCATTTATTTGATTAAAAAAACTGTAAAAAACTGTAATATTGTGAAACATTATAACAATTTTCTCCTTTTTTATTTATTTTTTATTTTAATTTATTCTTTTTTTATTTTAATTTATTCCTGTGACGGCATTACTCCAGTCTTCAGTGTCACATGATCCTTCAGAAATCATTCTAATGCTGATTTACTGCTCAAGAAACATTTCTTATTATTATCAATGTTGAAAACAGTTGTGCTGCTTTATATCTTTGTAGAAACAGCAATACATTTTAAAAGGATTCTTTGAAAGAAGAATAGAAAGTTCAAAAGAACAGAATGGATTTGAAATAAAAATCTTTTGTAACATGTAAATGTCTTTACTGACACTTAATTTAATGCATCCTTGCTTTTGATTTCTTAAAAAAAAAAAAAGCATCTTACTGACCCCAAATTTTTGAATGCCAGTGCATGATAATTTGATATTTTGCATAATATAATGATATTTTTGGGTTTATGAGTCAATGATGTCAGTGATGTTCATGTTTTCGATGTATTAAATCATAAACAAAGTACGGTGTCAATATGTGAATATGTCAATTTTGTCAGATTTTGTCCGATTTTTGGCGGAATGAAAGTCACAGTCACTATTTTCTTATTGTATCTAAATAAAGCGATCCACTTTTGTGATTCACTGAGTAAAGAAAGTCATACGGGTTTGAAACAACAATGAGGGTGATATTTAATTATCTTCTGCATCTTAATTTGACACTGACCTTTATAGAAATTATTCCATTTCAGTCTTTCATAATATATGCAGAATAATTACTAGTAAATGTGCAAAGAAATACAGGGTGGAATGCTCAAAAAAAAAAAGAAGGTTTTTATTTTAATTAAAAGGAGAGATTGGATGAGATTGGCCTACGTTAAATGTCATAATTAACATAATTAAGCAGTGAGTCATTGTGTCACAAAGAAAAGAGCCAGTGTTGTTTAGGCATGTACGTTATCTGCTCGTGCATGTATTCTGTCAGACGGAGTGTGTTTGTGTTTTCTCAGTGAGGCTCTGAAACAGGATTTCTTCCGGCTGCCGCCCCAGGCCATGGTCTCCGTGAAGTGCTCCCCGTTTCATCTGTTTGATAAGTGTGTTCTCATGGGAGATGCGGCCCACGCTGTGGTCCCGTTCTACGGTCAAGGTATGAATGCGGTAAGTGGATATTCATTCTGATCAATTTTTTTTTTAAGTTAGACTCCAGCTGTAATTGCTCCCAATGAGGTTAACATAACCTCAACATCAAGTTGCAATTTGCAGCTGAAATGCAATTAACAGTATACAGAAATATTCCAGTAGCTCTCGAACATGTAATCATCTTTTTACAGGCTTGGCCAGAAAATGGACCAGTGTTATCATTGAGATACTATTATAGTTTACATTTATAGTTTGAATTAGTTGTTAAAGCTTTAGCAATTATTATTCGTTTTGTTTTTAATGTGGCTATATCGTTTTTATTCGTTTTTTATTTCAGTTTGACTTATTTTAGTACATCAAGTTAAACTAAATGAGTTTAATTTATATATTTTATGAAGTAACAATTTTTTTTATGGATTTAGTTTGAGAAAAGTATAATGACCCTGATATGGACCTTATTTTAAAGGGGTCATGACATGAGAAATCAAATTTGCTCTGATCTTTTGACACACAAGAGGTCTTTGTACCATTAAAACCTCCTGCAAGCTTCAGAGCTCCTCCTGATTATAAACAAAGCATTTATTTAAGCAAGCTCCAAAAATGTCTCGTTTTGATATTGTGGGATCTGTAACGTCACACAGGCAAATATATTTGTATATGACTGCCTCCAGAGAGCAAGACATTGACAAATAGTTACACATCATCACACCATAGGCCCCGCCCACTGGCGTTCAGTCGCTTAATGGCTGAGACTTTTGAGAGCAACAAGTCAAAAGCAAATAGAACCCATTATAATCACTGACTGTCATCACCTACACTGGATACAACAGACACGCGTTTCGTTTCTGACATTTACATTTACATTTATTCATTTAGCTGACGCTTTTATCCAAAGCGACTTACAATTGCTATATATGTCAGAGGTCGCACGCCTCTGGAGCAACTAGGGGTTAAGTGTCTTGCTCAGGGACACATTGATGTCTCACAGTGGATTCGAACCCAGGTCTCTCACACCAAAGGCATGTGTCTTATCCACTGCGCCATCACCACCCCTGACATACTCTACGTGCTTGAGTCTGCCGACAACAGGACAAATGGGAAAGTGAAAGAAAGTTCCAGGTTAAACTGCTCATTTGCGTCTCTGTACTGACTTCAAAAACAAGGATGGTTTATTTTCATGACGTCCCAGATCGCATTGGAGGATTACATGTTTGTTCGGAGCATTTTGTTTTGTAAACGAGGCACAGTGTAATGGAGAGTTCGCAAAGAAACCTTTGTTGAAAGATGAAGCAGCCGACTATATTAAATCTCACAGCAGCTGCATCACAAACCGCAGTAAATGATTTCATAATGCTTTGTCTGTAAATGACAGTTTTATATGGATAATGTTTTTAAAACGCTTACTCACGTGCAATACCGAGGGGACGTTGCTGTTCACTCTGTACATGCTACCCTTAGGAGATATCATAGGGAACATGGAATTAGTTTTCACTGTTATGCTGATGATACTCAGCTCTATATTTCTTCACGCCCCGACGAAACTTACCAATTCACAAAATTAACACAATGCATAGCCGATATAAAAAATTGGATGACTAGTAATTTCCTACTACTAAATTCTGAAAAAACAGAGATTCTAATTATTGGACAAAAAGCTTCCACACGTAATAACCTAGAATACTGTCTAACACTTGATGGCTGCTTTGTTAAGTCTTCGTCGTCGGTTAGGAACCTGGGTGTGCTCTTTGATACCAATCTCTCATTTGAAAGTCACGTGTCTAGTATCTGTAAAACCGCATTTTTCCATCTTAAAAACATATCTAAATTACGCCATATGCTCTCATTAACAAATGCAGAACAATTAGTTCATGCGTTCATGACATCAAGGCTAGATTATTGTAATGCTCTACTGGGTGGTTGCCCTGCACGCTTAATAAACAAACTACAGCTAGTTCAAAATGTCGCAGCTCGAGTTCTTACCAGAACCAGGAAATATGACCATATTAGCCCGGTTCTGTCAACACTGCATTGGCTGCCTATTAAACATCGTATAAATTTTAAAATATTGTTAATTACTTACAAAGCACTAAATGGTTTAGCTCCCCAGTACTTGAGCGAGCTCTTAACGCATTATAGTCCTTCATGTCTATTGCGATCTCAAAGTTCCGGCCAGTTGATAATACCTAGAATATCAAAATCGACTGCTGGCGGTAGATCCTTTTCCTATTTAGCACCAAAACTTTGGAACAGTCTTCCTACCATTGTCCGGGAAGCAGACACACTCTGTCAGTTCAAAGCTAGACTAAAAACACATCTCTTTGACCTAGCATACACATAATACATTATAGACTTCGATAATTCAATGTTAGGCTGCATAGATTAGGTCAGCCGGAACTGGGAACACTTCCCTTAAATCCAGATGTACTCGTTACATCATAAGAAGAATGGCATCTACGCTAACTTTAGTGTCTTTGTTTATCCCGAGGTTTTCCTGCAGCCTGCCGGATCCAGGCCGTATCCAGATCTGACGAAGGAGATTCGCCTGGACCCGATGACAATGCAGTGCTGCAGTGTCAACTATCCTCTCCCTATGGAGGATCCCTTTCCCACTCTACAGATAAAGCGTTGTTGAAAATCCGGTTCGCGTACCCCGAAGTGATAAAATAAAATTCGGTATCAAATTTATAGGCAAGACAAGTAGTTTGTTTAGGCATGGTTTGTAGGGAAATTACAAACCTGCGCACACATATTCAAACGAATATAACTATAGAATCAATTTTTAATGCGCATGTGAACGCCATCAGGTCACAGGTTCGCGTTTAAAGTCTGTTTAGAGAGAACGCCGTCGTCTTAGTGGCCCCTAATGTAATAACAAATGATAATTTTGCTGGAAGTGAATCAATCAAAACCAACTTTAGCCGAAAATAACATTATTCAAAATCGCTATAAAGCCAAAACAATCTCTGTTACCGTAAATTGTATGTTTATCTCTGTAAAGCTGCTTTGAAACAATCTCCATTGTTAAAAGCGCTATATAAATGAAGATGACTTGACTTGACTTGACTGTTTCCTATGCAGTGATGTTAGCCAATCATAACAGTGGCTGTTTACTGACAAGCCTTAAAGGAGCCGCCCCTTAAAAACTTTAATTTTCTGTAAATTGTCATGTCCATCCATGTCATGACCCCTTTAAATATTGTGCATGTAAATGCGGTCACTGGTAAATGTGAGTTGTCTTATAGATAGAGTGTTTCAACTGAAAGCTCATTTATTTAATTTTTTTGATTCACAGGGATTTGAGGATTGTTTAGTTATCGACGAAATTATGGACCAGTTGAATGAAAACATTGGTAAGACAGAACCGGCTTCACAAGAAAATTCAAGTTCAAAACAATTCTGAAATGAAAGGAATTCATTAATTAAATTAAAGTTATATAAATTAATTACATTTCTCAAAAGTGCATCTGTCTTTTAAATCTAAAAATACTTGTTTGAATCATTTCATCCCAGAGTAAAATCACCGGATGATTGCTAGTTAGCAATATGGGTTATAATTACTATATAAAAGCTAAGAGGGAACTAAGAGATGCCAAATTTTTGGTCTTAAATTGCAGGGACATAAAAAAAAGTGCTCACACCGTATGTCAAACATACACATAAATAAAGGGGGAGAGCCGCTATTAGAAGATACATTATAGAAGTACATGAATTGTTTTCTTATTCTCTGTCTACAGCTGCTGTTCTTCAAGAATACACCAGAGTTCGAGTACCTGACGATCACGCCATAGCTGACCTGGCCATGTACAACTATGTAGAGGTACGCCATCAACTCATATCAGCTGCAATACTGTATCTGAACACTAGGTGCTGTCACTTCCTGCGGTCACATGACTTCTCACATCACCTGCAGCTCAATGTCAAGGTCGTGGGGTTTGTACTTAGACTTTTTTTATTTTTTTTATTATCAGAGCTGCGAGAGAAGACTGCCCTTGTTTTCTGGTCATTAAGTTGAATGCACACATACATTACAGTACAAACACACAGTAGCAGTAATCACTCTGCCACCAGCTGATCGGATGTGACATGCAGACCACAGTGAGACAGGTCAACCTTGTGATTTGTGTTGTAGATGAGGGCGCATGTCAATTCCAAATATTTCCTGTTCCGAAAATACCTGGACAATATCCTTCACGTCATCATGCCAAAAACAATCGTCCCCCTTTACACAATGGTAAGAGCTTTTTAGTGTTGTGTATCATCTTGTTTATTGTTGATATTTTTGTTCACTAATTCATATGTCTGATTGCTTGGCTTTCAGGTCACATTCACCAGAACACGGTACCATGAAGCGGTGAATCGCTGGCATTGGCAAGATAAGGTAAAGAAAAGACAAACCTGTGTTTGAAAGTGAACAAATGACTCACGTCAGTGTGAAATCAGGAACTGTGTGAGGCTGAAAACCCGGAGATTTAAAACAGCATTTCCACTCTGAGCTATTAACACAATATTATTTCACGCGAGGATCCATCAGAGTTTTGGTCGTAATAGCACATTATAGTCTGATGGTAGAAAAAGTTTAATTGTGTTCTTTGAGGGTTTTTTATTATTATTTGAAACTCCAAAATTTCCTGCTGTAGTTCGAGTGTGTTGAACTGTGAAATGAACTGTTAAACTTTTGGATTTTTTTTCTCTAGAGTGCACTAATGCACTATGAAGTGCAAAGAGACTGAAATGTTTATAGTATTTTTTTTTTTCTAAAAAAAAAGCCATATACAGTAAGCAGAATTCCAGACAGTACCATTCAAAAGTTTGGGGTCTATAAGATTTTTTTTATGTTTCTTATGCTCACCAAGGCTGAATTTATTTGATAAAAAATACAGTAAATACGCTAATAGTGTGAAATATTATTACAATTTAAAATATCTGTTTTCTTTTTTTAAATATATTTGAATGTAATTTATTCCTGTGATGCGAAGCTGAATTTTCAGCATCATTACTCCAGTCTTCAGTGTCACATGATTCAGCTGATTTGCTGCTCAAGAAGCTTCTTCTTATCATCAACGTTACAAACAGTCTCACTGTGTCATATTTTTGTGGAAACCATAATTCCTTTTTTAGGATTCTTTAATAAATAAAAAGTTCAAAAGAACAGCATTTATTTGAAATATAAAAGTGTTGTAACACCGTAAATGTCATTACTGATCAGTTTATTTAATGCATCCTTGCTGAATAAACTAATTTAATAAATCTTACTGACCCCAAACTTTTGAACTGTACTGTAGACTAAATGCAGAATGACATTTTTTTCCCCATTAGAACCAAAGACTGCATTCTTAATGAAGTGAAATGTAAACATAGTGCTTTTCATTTAAGTACAAACTGAATGTTGGATTTAAAAACGGTTTGGAAGTTTCTCACGGCACAGTACAATAATAACAGTGATCCATCAGTAAACGTCTTGCTGGTCTTTTGCAGGTGATCACTCAAGGTCTGTGGCTGTGTGGAGTTGTGTCCGCTGCAGGAGGGATGTATGTCTTGGTCAGAAACTCTCACAAACTCCCCAACATCTCTGCAGAGCACCTGTGGACCCGCATACTCGCTTTAAAGCGCTTCTAATGTCCATGCACAGGAAAGCCTGTGTTGATGTTTACTCACCAAAGAGCTTTCATAGTTCTGTACTGGACCAAAATTTAAATCTTCAGTATCAGTGGCATTATGTTGATTACCACAGGAAATAATTTTAGTGTAGTGCACTTTTCCAGATGGTTTAAAAGCAGAAATGTGCAGCTGGTATGATTGTTAAAGCACTTATCTTCTCATCAACATGTATCATCTCATAATGCAAAGCTACTTATATTGCATTCAAGGTATACATGTTATCTGTTCATGCATTCCCTGGAAAGCTAAACTTTAGCATTGCTAGTACTATGCTGTACTTCTGGAGCTACAGGAACGCTGCCTTGACATGAGTTATTCTGTAAAACATTTATCATTTGAGCTCTTAAAGTTGTCTAAATGTACTTTTTTGAAGTGGGAATATTTCTCAAAAGTGTTCTGTTTACTTCCTGTGCCTGCAGAAACATGTGTAGATTATTCTGTATTTTCTGTGATAATCAACATTATGTCTTGGGTTCTTTAACTTGTATTGAATCCAGAACATTCCTTTAAATAAGCCAGCATGCACTTGAAATTGTTGAGGGAGAAATAATGGACATATAATTCTGTGTGAACGTCTAATCTGGTTTGCTTTTACTTTATATATCATATAGATCACATCTGAGTGGGAGGAGTTGTGATTTCGAAGCACATAAAGGTATAATTACTGTTTGTAATTATTAAAAGTCAAGTTGATCACTGTTCTTGTAGATTCAAAATAAGGTAAAGGTGACTGAATAAAATCTTTTGTTCACTAAATTATTGAATTCTTCTGCTTCATGGGTCTGCCTTCATTATCTCACTTTCAGTACAATTAAACATTGTCATTTATCCTTTTTTTTAGGGTGGGAGAAATGTTAAGTCCTCCTGTCCTCATGATTGTCAATTTGTCATGTAAAATCTAATCCCCGTTTGGATTTAACCCACAAATCCTCCACAGACCATAATCCATGAATGAGATAACAGATCGTGAGCTTAGAATTATAAGGTTCCATCTCCACTTTTGGTCGAAATTGAGTTTTTGACATAATCTTATCCATTAGGTGTTTATTAATGCCTGTGTGGTGTTATTTTTGTAAAAAAAAAAAATGTTGTTAGTAGTTATTAATAAAATAAAAAGGTTCCATCTCACAAAACAGCAGGGTGTAAAAACTTTGATGCTCAATATCAGAACTACCCTAAACGGAGATAGAACCTTATAATTCTAAGCTCATGAGATGCCTTCTCAACCACTCAAGCAAGCATTCAGTCATTCAACTGTCATTTTCAAACATATTTATCAGCATGTCTTTTCTGTATTTTACATAATTTTCATGAAATTGTAAACACTTTTTAATGCAACGATTGGTATTCAGCTTGTTTTAGCCGTCATCCAGAAGTTTTATGTTAAAGTTCACATCGGGATTTTAATATTTTTTTTTTTTTTTAGAACTGGAAAAATTATGGAAGCTTGTTTCCGCCACAGAATAAAAAAAAAAAAAGGTCTCACAATTCTTGACTTTTTTCTCGCAATTGCGAGTTATCTTAAAGGGTTAGTTCACCCAAAAAAATTCTTCCCATAATCTACTCACCCTCAAGCCATCCCAATCACAATCGGAGTTATATTTAAAAAAAATATCCTGGCTCTTCCAAGCTTTATAATGGGAGTTTTTGAAGCTCCAAAAAGCACATCCATCACAAAACGAAAAGTAATCCATACGATGCGTTTTGTAAGAAAAATACCCATAATTGTCCGTAGCGGCCATCCACACGTTCGAGAGTTGAGTTCGGCATATGACGTAGGATGTGGAAGTAGCGTCAGTTTAGGTGAGAGTAGACGCCTCTCAAGGTTCAAACAAACTCAAGCTCCTTTGTAGCCTGGTTAAAACCAGAACATTCTCAGTTGTAACTGAGTTATGGTCTGGCAAAGCGTCTTAGGCCCTGTCCCAAATGGCACACTTCATGTGCACTTTCGGTCTTGTGGACTTACGATGGCTGCCGCGTGCGCGTGTCCGTTAAGTCCTTGAGACCGCAGTGTGTCCCATTTGTCATTTTTAGATCTCAGAAGGGTGCTCGCGAGCGCCCCCTCTGCGGTCGATTTGCGCCCTTGATGCGCACTTTTGCCGAGCCCACGCTGATGCGGACTCCACAGCAGACTTCTTCCCGACATTCAAAGCGGCGTTACGTCGCGAAAGTGCGGACTCAGAGGAAGACCGCGAGTGCTTAGGGTTCCATTTGGGACAGGGCAATAGACAAATCATTTCCAGAGGGGCGTCACCAACGGACGTCGCGGATAGACCTAAAACCAATCAGAGCGATGAAGGAGATGACGTATGCAGAGCGGCTGAGAAACATCTCCGAGTGTTGTTCTTTGCTCGGTTTTTAACAAAAAGGAAACGTTCAAATCGCTTAAAACAGACGCGATAGCTGATTCGAACGAGTGATGTTCGACGGCGGCATCCATCTTTGTAATGTAGGCTACAAAATCTGCTTCAAAATCCCATTGCTGTCGTCATCGTGTAAAGCCCGCCCCAACGTTTCTGATTGGTGCCTCGATTTCGACGGATTGGAAATGGGCTTGAATGAGCTCTTTGCAGTGTTGCCAGATTGGGCGGTATTGAATTTGATTGTGCGGGTAAAAAAGGGTTTGGGCGGGTGGTCAAAATTTGGGCTGGTTTGGGATCATTTCGGCGGTTTTCAAACATCTACATTTTAAAGTCTAATTAGTTTAAAAAACGAAACTAAAGTGCATGTTGTCCATAAAATCAGTCATCATGACATTACTGTACACACACGCTCATGCAGAGTCAGCTGGCGTTAGTGTTGACATCACCGACGAGCACGCACTTTTAGCCAATCAGCGATCCGCAGGCAGACGCGATTGAGCGCGAGAAGTTGTAGCTGTATATTAAAGTGATCGCTAAGGCAAAGTGACATAGCCTACTATACAAAAGAGTGTACAGTAGTGAGCAACTCTAAAAAACGCATACGTGGAAGGAGATCACTCTATGGTGAATATAACGATTCCTGTCCATGTCGTATGTGCACACTAGCCTAACCAAACATCTGCAACTTTACACCATCCAGGCTGCACTCTACTTGTCCCTGACAGCTGCTGAAAAAGGTTTGAATCAACGATGAATCCGTTTTGACCGCTAAATTCTGCGTTATGTTCTGCAATGTGTACTTCCGAGGGTTAAAGTCATCGGTTCATTTCTTGATTGCCGTTTTGACAGTGTCCACCTGGACATTTTAGTCATATTGGCTAATTCTCCTTAATTATTGCCCTGTTGTGATTTGTTTTGCTGGAAAATGTATTTATTTTTTATTTTATTTTATCATCGTTATTTTGTTTTAAGGAGATACAAATTGTGCTTATCAACCTTAAATGACATGGTAATGAAATTATATCACATTATTTTGGCAGTAAAATTTTGGGCGGTTTTTTCTTGTAGTGGGCGGGTTTTGGTGAGCTTTTGGGCTGGAAATCACCGTCCCAATCTGGCAACACAGACTAAATTTCAGAGCAAATCTAAATTTGCCGGAAGTTGTCTGGGTTTTCCCAGGCTAGCTCCTTTGACATTTTTGTCTGTAAATTCTCGGTTTAGACTTATAATTCTTGATCAGTGTTTAGTTTTGCTCTATCATCTGTGTTTTCGCATTTGTCCGAGATCGGGTCTCTTCCACCGGAACTAGACTCGTGTTCGGCCGTTGCCGGAAGCCAGTTATTAGTTAAGTTACAAATATTGACGTTTTTTTGTACAAAAACCCATTGCTTTGCTTCAGAAGGCCTTTATTAACCCCCTGGAGCCATATGGATTACTTTTGTGATGGATGGATGTGCTTTTTTTTTAGCTTGAAAAAAATGGTACCATTCACTACTACAAAGCTTGGAAGAGCCAGGATATATATTTTTTGCATAATCCTATTGTGTTTGGCTTGAAAGAAGAAAGTCATATACACCTAGGATGGCTTGAGGGTGTGTCAATTATGGGATAATCTTTTTGGGTGAACTAACCCTTTAAGTGTATTCATAATAGAAAAGGAAAAACACACCTCTTCTCAAGAAGCAACTTGAGGTATTTTGAGGTAAACTCACCAAAGTTGAATAATTAAAGGTGCCCTAGAATGTTTTTTTTTATTATTTTATAATGTTTCCTGGGTTACCCTTATAATGTTAGTATGTTTTTTAGATAAAAAATATTCATAATTTAGAAATAAATGGCATTTTTCCTAGCCTGCTTTTAGCCTCTGATTTGAACACTCTGTTTGAAGGGGCGTGTCTGCTGTGGGATTCAGTGTAACCGCGGCCACTGCTGTGATTGGCTGACATGCTTGCATATGAAATAGCAACGCATTACATGTGAAACTCTCTCCCGAATACTTTTACTACTGCTATTATACGTTTTTACTATAACAGCTATCGAGATTAACGAATCGTGAGATGTTTTTAAAGTATTTATATCTATTCCCATCACATAAAATGTTGCCGTGATGAGCATTGAGCAGATGACAGTGTGTTGATCGCGAGAATGAAGATCTTATCATTGCAAAGCAGTTTCTGCACTCTCTCTGCTTTCAACAATGCAAACACGATGATGTAAATACAGTAAGAGCTTCGTTGTGCAGTAACGTGCGTTGATTTCATAACGAGTTTGGCAAGTGTCCAGATAAACTCGCGCTGTGTGGAAAGATTTTTTTTATCGCTTTCTGTAGGCTATATAATTTGTTCACAATTTAAATACGATTATTTTCATCCTACTAAAAGAAACGATGTGAAGCTGATATTTTAGTCACTGGCTTGACTTACTGATGCATAAACAGTATTGAACGATTTTGAGAGAAAGATTACCTGTCTGAACTTGAACAATTACACATCAGAAAGTGTTGCTTGGTAGCTCGATCCGAGGCCAGCTCTGTATTGGCCCAAGTTGAGGAAACACTCGGTGAAATGTTTGGAAATTTCCAGAGAAAATAAAATTAACCCATTGTTTCTTCAGAGGCTCAGATGAAGGTACTAAAAAATACTTTTGTGTTCATGTGTACATCCACACTGAGCAACTGCCATGCGTCGGCTGCGCAGTTCCGCCTGGCATTGAGGGCTGGCATTATGCAAATATTTGGAGGCGTACATATTAATGATCCCGACTATTGCGTCACAGTCGGTATTGTGTGGAGAACCGACCGTTTTTCAGGGGTGTTTTTCATAAACGTGAATTAAATGAGAACGCGAAAACAGTCCAGTTTGAGATTCACTCTATGTCATGTCCATGCACTGAACTCTTGTTATTTGACTATACCAAGGTAAATTCAATTTTGAATTATAGGTCACCTTTAAGGGTTTGTTCAAACAAAGCCATAATCTAAAAATGAAGCAGTAGAAATAGTGATGATGCTTGCCTTATTTTCATAAAGGACACAAAGTTCGTTTCCTCCAGGGGGCGCTGTGGATCTGACTGACTGTCTGGATGAGTTGCATGCTTTAACAAACGTCCAGTCCTCCAGGAGTGTCCTTGCATGAACACTGTGTTCCTAATCTATCTAAAGACACTCACTAATGTATTCTACTCACGGACTGTGTGATCTAAACTGCTGGATATCTCATCATCCCATGGAACTGGGTGAAGGTGGAAGTTTCAGTGTCAAAAGTGATGGAAAAGGTATAATTGATCGAAAGTCATTTTCATAAAACACTTACAGCAAATTTATATAATTCTCAAGTCCTGATCGGAACACAAAAGTCCGTTTATGTTGGATTACTGCTGCATAAAGAAATCCTTGTTTCCATGTTTATAAAAAGAGATGTATCTTCTGCATATTTATACATTTTGATTTAGCGTGATATGAACTTCAATGTCATTCTTTAAATGTTACCACGGCAAATGTCAAAGGGGTCGAACTTGAATTGCATTGATGTCTGGTTCATCATTGTATTTGGTGGTGATGTCCAGAGGACGAGTGTCATTGCTAGCGATGATGAATACGATGGAGGAAGAGTTGAAGGTCACTCTCTTTTTGGGCCGGTCAGGGCGGCTATGCGACATCACAATGGGACGTACAGGATGTTCGATGCGGGCCAGGGGGCGGTCCTTAATGGTGTGCTGCAGACTGGCCAGGCGAGAACAAAGCATCTGTAACATGCACCTGCGAAACTGACCAATCAGAAAGAGGAAATACATTCATCAAGATGCACTGCACAAAATGACATACAGTACACATTCAGTAAGCGAGCGATAGATAGATAGATAGATAGATAGATAGATAGATAGATAGATAGATAGATAGATAGATAGATAGATAGATAGATAGATAGATAGATAGATAGATAGATAGATAGATAGATTTATTTGACAATTTTGGAAAAAAAAATGTTTACAGTGCATATTCTGCTGACAACTTTATGAATTCAGTTTTACTTTTTGTACGAGATCCTGTCTGAGCAATTCCTTATTTCATAAATGAAAATACAAAAAAATGAATAATTTAAAGATTTGAAGATAAAGATTTTCATGCCACAATTTACGGTACAACTTACTAACATTTTATATAATTAAAAAATCATTATGCCCCAAAAATGATGGAATAATACAGGTATATACAAATATTTATATTACTATTTATTATCATAATTATTTTAATAATTTTATTCAAAATCTCAAAGGTTCTCCATCAGAACTGAGTGACCCCTGCTGACCTTTCTGCTCATGAAGGCGTAGATGACGGGGTTGTAGGCAGTGCTGGATTTGGCGAAGAGAGAGGGAATGATGGCTACCGTGGGGGAGACGATACTCTTCCTGCCAAAGGCCTCCAGCATGGAGACCACAGCATAGGGTGTCCAACACACCAGGAAACAAGAAATCATCATCAGGAACATCACCGCCACTTTCTTCTCATATCGCAGAATCTTAATCGTCTGAACCGTCTGCAGATCCTGGATAGAGCGCAGCTATAGGAGGAGAACAGAGGACATTTTGTCATAAATGAGCAGGTGGAAGCTGCACATTGGTGGTGGTTGAGGAGATTACCCCTTCTATGTAAAGCGCTTTGAGTGCCTAGAAAAGCGCTATATAAATGTAATGAATTATTATTATTATTATTATTATAAATCTGTTTCCTTTGGTAAAGCACATCTAGCACATCGTCCTAGAAAAAAAAGACCAGGTCATGACATTCAACCTTAGATTTTTTATATTGTGTGTGATGGTATAGTGATATTTTTCACTGTTTGGAGAGCCTTGGATTAGCTAACATAAATTAATAAATAATTTAAACAATATTTATTTATTAATTTAATTATCAGATACTGACCAGGGCTGCGTAAAGACCATTGCCAATGTTCTCTACAATCAACTTAAGTCATGATGCTTTTGGGATACGCAACCCAGTTTGATGTGACAACTAATTTAGTAATGATAAAGCTACTCTCAGATCATGATGTAAAAAAAAAATTTTTATACTTTAATATTCTTGGCGTGATGGTAAAGACAGTAATTCTGTGTTATTAAGTGACAAGTTAAAAATGATTTTCAAATTTAACATCACAACACCAAGCAAACATTAATTAAAAAAAACATAGTAAAAGTTGCTATCATAAATGTTTTAAACAATTTTTTTTAAACTATTCTAGAGGACAGAAAAGATAAAGAAGGAATAGAATAGACCAGAACACAACAGATTTACAAGCATCATAAGAACAACTGATTTACAGTCATTTAAATACACATAATACATGCCATCTGGATCATACAGAAAAAGTCATAACCAGTGTTGGTGTAATGCATTACTGATTAATTATTGTAATTTAATTACTTTTCCCTTGAAAAAATAAAGTATAATACTTACTCTTAATTTTTTCAGCATTTAATTACAGTTACTTCTGATGTAATTGCATTCAATTCTTCATAGAGTAACAATTCTATAGAAAACAGTGGATTTAACATCAACATTTTAACGTCTAATGTTAAAATGTATGCTTTAAATGTAACATTCTCCCTTCACTTTGGTCAGTTTATGCAATAATAATTTATGCAATTTTATATATATATATATATATATTTAAAGAATTATAAGAGCTGTTTAATTTCTTTCCTCGTATTGTTAAACTGCTCGAGGTTGATATGGGATTTAGAAAGTAATTAGTAATAAGTAATGCAATACTTTTAAAGAGAGAAATTAGTAAAGTAATCTAATTATCTAATTACAGTTTAAGATAATAAGTAGCTAGTAATGACTTTTTCAGAGCAACTAAATAAAGTAATAAAGTGAGATTAAATACATAAAGTATATTTAAGTTATTTAACATATTTAATTATCGCAGGTTTGCATAATATTCTGACTTTGCATTTCGCTGTTTTAATTCATTTTGAGGAATACTGAATCAGTTTAGTGCAAGTGAGATGAGTAAATGCATGCTCACATTAGTCTAAAACTACAATAACCATCATGTTCACACAGCTCTGCTTCACTTTTTCTCTCAACATGGGGACTTATTTGAATAAGTAACTCAAATATTTATTGCACATTTAAAAGTAATGCGTTACTTTACTCGTTACTTGAAAAAAGTAATCTGATGACGTAACTCACATTACTTGTAATGAGTTAACCCCAACTCTGGTCATAACAAATTCCACATAATATATTGCACATTATGTTCATGGTGATAAAGACATATATTTTTCCAAGCGGATTGGCTTTAGACAGACGTCATATGCTCAGAAACATAATGCCCTATGAAACTCTAATGCTTTTGCTTCTTTAATTAAACATACAATTTGCATTCATTGTCTTCACACAGCTGCAAGAACAGCAATAAAATGTGCTGAGTTTGACTGAGCATCTCTCAGAGCTCCTGCCATTGTGTAACTACAACAGAACTGGGTCACCGCTTGGGTGCGCAATGGAGGTGGTGTGAACAGCTGATCAAAGTTTTCTCCTGAAATAATTTAGTCACACTGAAGATGGTTTTCCAAACCCAGTATAGTCATGCTGCTGACAAGGCACGTATAACACCTTCATTGATTCATTATTTGGGTAGATGATAAGGAGTGTGCATTTTTTTGTTCATTAAAGTCCCCGTGAACCGGAAGTTGCAAACGACTTTTCTCCAGTGTTGTGACGTATTTCCGAAAGAAACGGAATACTAAATGAGGCAAAATAGTGGGCGTGGCTTTTTTTCCAACTAGCACCTGATTGGATCTAGAAAAGTAGGTGTTTTCATTCAGTCTGTCTACTGTCAGTTGGAGGGGCGTGGTTACGGATGTTAAAGGGATACTCCACTTTTTTGGGAAATAGCCTCATTTTACAACTCCCCCAGAGTTAAACTGTTGAGTTTTACCGTTTTTGAATCCATTCAGCCGATCTCCGGTTCTGGCGGTACCACTTTTAGCATAGCTTAGCATACATCATTGAAGTGGACAAGACCATTAGCATTTAAAAAAAAAAAAAAAAAAGACCAAAGAGTTTCGATATTTTTCCTATTTAAAACTTGACCCTTCTGTAGTTACATCGTGCACTAAGACCGACGGAAAATGTAAAGTTGCGATTTTCTAGGCTGATATGGCTAGGAACTATACTCTCATTCCTGCGTAATAATCAAGAAACTTTACTGCCGTACCATGAGTGCAGCAGGCGTAATGATATGACGCAGCGCCTGAAAATAGGCTACCTTCCGACAACACAACGGAACTATTTTCAGGCGCTGCGTCATATCATTACGCCTGTTGCACTCATGGTACGGCAGTAAAGTTTCTTGATTATTACGCAGGAATGAGAGTATAGTTCCTAGCCATATCAGCCTAGAAAATCGCAACTTTACATTTTCCGTCGGTCTTAGTGCACGATGTAACTACAGAAGGGTCAAGTTTTAAATAGGAAAAATATCGAAACTCTTTGGTCATTTTTTTTTTTTAGAAATGCTAATGGTCTTGTCCACTTCAATGATGTATGCTAAGCTATGCTAAAAGTGGTACCTCCAGAACCGGAGATCGGCTGAATGGATTCAAAAACGGTAAAACTCAACAATTTAACTCTGGGGGAGTTGTAAAATGAGCCTATTTCCAAAAAAAAGTGGAGTATCCCTTTAAGCAGACACCCAAACCGTCAAACCTACGTCATCAGGGAAGGTCCTCCAATGCAGAGGGGAGGGGAAATTTCAGATTTTGATTAAAGATTATGAAGCCAAAAAAATGTTTTGTGTGGATTGACATGCATGGATGAATTGTTCACCACAAAACGATCAATTTAGGCAAACAAAGTAAGTATGGTCAATTTTGAATTCATGGGGACTTTAACACCAAGATTAAGGTTAAAAGGGAATGTGTATATTTAGTCTTTTGACTGGTCAAGTTTTACCATTTTAAACAGCTTTTCTTTAACTAGTTCATAATAAATGGCCCTTTGGTGGAATACATGTTTTTAAACCGTGTTGTAAATATAAATTTAAATGTATACAACTCTAAGTAATCTCTCAATTTGAATATCGTCTCTGGTTACTCACGTAACCGTAGTTCCCTGAGAGGAGGGAACGAGACATTACGTATGGGGAAATCCATTTTCCTCGAATCATGAAGTCTGATAGAATAACTCTTTTGCTTGCAAATAGCCAATGGCGGTCCCGCCATCACCTGATTGGCTGACCAGAAACCTCAGAATCTTAGCTGAACGAGAGTAAGGAGACTGAGAGTCCCTCCCACACGGCAGGTTACGTAATGTCTCGTTCCCTCCTCTCAGGGAACTACGGTTACGTGAGTAACCAGAGACGTTCCCTTATCGAGTCGGTCTCTCGACATTACGTATGGGGAACAATAAAACCCCCGCCGCGTGGGAGAAACCCCGCCCAGCTCTCAGGAACAGACACCGGACCTGGTTGAAACATCTATTGGCACAGAGCCAACTCGGCATCTGCACCAACGAAGGCCCCTGCACCAACGAAGGCCCCTCCCATCAAGCTAAGCACGCTGAACTGAATGGAGGGAGATTGCAGCAAAGTGAATTGTGCTTAGGAAAATACTGCCGGCTATGAATACGGGCATAACAAAGGGCACAATATAGTGAACATGATATCTATGCTAATAATAACTCGCACTGTCTGACGACTAGTCGAACCGTGGCTAGAGCGCGCGCCATCGGGGCAGTCTAGCCTAGTCCAACGACAGCTCAGCTTTCTCTCCCTGCACTGACAGACATGTGGTGCGAATGAAGGGATATCCAAGTTATAGAATCTCGCGAAGGTATTACGAGACGACCAACCTGCCGCGAAACAAATGTCTTGAATAGACATGCCTTTCGCCCACGCCCATGATAACGCCAAACTCCTAATGGAGTGGGCGTGCACCCCTATAGGGAAACGCTTCCCGGGAAGCATAAGCCAGCCAGTGCACAGCCTCAACTATCCAGTGAGATAGCCTCCGTTTCGACAACGCGCCGCCTCTTAGCACCCGCGTAGCAGACGAAGAGCTGCTCTGAAGTTCGAAACTGGCTAGTTCTGTTCACATAAGCACGCAGGGCACGCATGGGGCACAAAGCGTGCTTCTGAGACTCTGAAACACTGACCTCATCTGGGCAAAATGCTGGAATTGTAACCACCTGGGCTCTGATGAATATACGCAGTAGATAATAGCCCCATAATAGCATAGCACCTCAGTAAACCACAAACACATAGCCGTAGCTACAACTGTGAGTAGACGAGTTAGCACAGAATAGCCAGTTGCACTGAAGGAAACGGGGCAACATAACAGCATAGCACATGTACGTAACAGCATCGGTCGCTGTAGCGCATCCATGCATGTACATAACGCAGCATAAGCCGCCGTAGCGACAGAACTGCGTAGAGACAGAAACTGAGATGTACAGTTCGATCAGGATGGCTAGCTGCACGGTGAGTATGCACGGTAGATTAAGATAGCTAGTTTTGCACTGAAGAAACAGAGCAACAAAATAGTAACACAC